TAAACAACAGCCCAGCCTGCCAGGGAGCTCAGGTTTATGTTGGCTTTGCTGTAGCAACTCCTTATCTGCCAGAGATTAGAGCAGTTCCCATCAGTTGTTGTGGGATTTGGTGGAATCCGTTTCCTGAGCTGTCACCAGGGCTGGTGGGGATGCAGAGCTCGGGGAGGACAGAGCTGCAGCTCTGACCCAGCTCTGGCTGCCTTTAGCATGGCCAGGTTGGAGCAAAATTTATGTTAGAATTAGCTGGATTGAATAACTAATTGTGTCATTAAAATTTATACAGTTTTATAAGGTTTAGATTAAAATTTGTTAGATTAAAATTTAGGTTAGATACAGGGAAGGAATTGTGCCCTGTGAGGGGGATGAGGGCCTGGCACAGGTGCCCAGAGCAGCTGTGGCTGCCCCTGGATCCCTGGCAGTGCCCAAATCCAGGCTGGACAGGGCTGGGAGCAGCCTGGGACAGTGGGAGGTGGCCCTGCCATGGCAGGGGTGGCACTGGGTGGCACTGGGTGGCACTGGGTGGCACTGGGTGCGCTTTGAGTCCCTCCTGTTGATCCACAGGAACGTGAGCCCACACTCCTGGAGCCCCAGGGGCTGATGCAGAGGCTGGAAAGGGTTGAAATTCTCCAATTTTGACTTTCAGCAGTTGGTTACCGCTAAAACAGACACAGAACAGCACCGTGCAAATGCAGCCTGCAATCCCAGATATTCCCTGGAGCTTTGCACCAAGTTTGGTGTTATCCTGGCAGGGAATTAGCTCCCTCCTTTCCCCTCGGCATTTCTCGTTCTCTGCCCATCGACAATTCACACCAGCTGCAAATTTGGCCCAATAATATTGATTGCGTGTCTTGTGCTTCCTCTGCGGGCCCTAATTAGTGCCTTGGAGATAATGAGCAGGGAATGAATGGCAGGGGAGCGGGGCTGCCCCTCTCCAGCCCTGACACTGCTCAGGGCACAGCACTAATGAGCTCCCAGAGCTGCATTAACCCTGCTCTGGCTCTGCCTGCCCTTGCCCACAGCAGCCCCTGGGGACTGGGAGCCCCTGGGACACAGGAAAACCCCTGGGACACAGGAAAACCCCTGGCAATGAGGAATTGCAGCTCTCTGCCCTCTGCCAGCTGCTCTCCTGCCATGCCCACCCTGCTCCTGCAGCACTGCTCCCATGGGTAACCCACTGTCCTCACCCACGGGCAAAGGCTCAGCTGCAATTTTACTTCTAAAAGCCATTTATTTTAAAAGCCATGTGCTTGTGAGTGAGCAGGAGCGGGTCAGCGTGGCTGACAGCAATTTAATCTGCATTTCCACAGCTCCCTGTGCCATCCCTGACCCCACAGCAATGCCTGTCCCCTGCCAGCAAGGGGACAGACCCAGCCCCGAGGAGATAATGAGTCTCTAAACACGGGTCCTGCAAAGTGTAAATGTGATTTATCCCCAAAGTTTCACACTTTGCAGAGCTTTCTTTCCCCTGGATAGGAGGGACACAGCAAGGGAGCAGCACGTTCCCAGTCCCCCAGGGCAAACATCCCTTCCCAGGGTGTGACAACACTCCAGTTTCCAGTGGATGCTTTGACCTTTCGCTCCTCGGCGCTGTCTGGAGCTGCTGTGTTGGGAACAACTGTCCTTGGGGTGCTTGGCTGACCTCCTGACTCCTTTTGGAAAGGCATTTCCATGGAGCTCTCAGCACTTCAGGCCAGCACCAGACCTTTAGTGGCATCAGAACTGTGGATGGATGTGAAGGGAACACTTGACAGCGCTCAGAAATCCTTCCCCGGAGCTCCAGGCAGGGACAGGCGGGGGAAAGGTGTCGCTGAAAAGGCTCCAAAGCCCCCGGTGGCCTCGGGGATGAGTGTGGATCTCACCCGGAGCACGTGGAGCTCAAGGGGAGCCTCTGGGCTGGATGGCAGCCTGGGCCAGCCTTTATCAGGAGATGAGGAAGGAGAGGCTGCCAGGGAAAGCAGAGATTTACCCCTCACATGCTCGGGTGCAGCTGCCAGGCCAGGACTGGGCCAGAGGGCAGAGCTCTGCCCCCCTGGCTGGGGAAATCTCTCCTGGTGCAGATTGCAGGAACCTGCCCGTTCCCAGCCCCTCATCGGGACATTGTGTGGAGAGGGCTGAAATATCACATCGTGCTTTTACGCGTGATAAAGCCAATTTTCACAGGCTGCTGATGGGCCCTCGGCCACCCCGGGGTGCAGGGGGACCTTGGGGACAGGGCTCTGTGTGAAAAGGGCTTTTTGTGAGCTCGGGGTGTTTCCATCTCTGCTCACCTGGTGGATCTCTGCTCTTTCCCTAAGGCTGAGCACACCCTGCAGTCCTGCAGAGGCAGCACCAGCTCTGCTCTGCCCCACAAACCCCACCCAAACCTCTGTGTTTGAAATTATAAACCTCATTTATTGAGAACCCCAGCCCTGCTCATGGGAATTACCTGCTGGGGAAGGTCTTGGAGAGCAGAGGGGGAGCTCCTGCTGCCCTTGGTGGGGAGATTCTGGCAGCGTGGAGCCTCCAAAGTCAATGCAAGGAGTAAAATCCTCCAAGGACTGGAGCACAGCAGCACCCAGGGCCTGCTTGGACCTCCCAGCCCCTAAATTCAGAGGGTTTGGGTTTGGGATGAGGATTTTCTCCAAGGAAAAGCTCATTTGGACAACTCTTAGCCCCTGCTACCCCATGTGCTCCCTGGATCATCAGGACCCTCCTTTTTTTCCAGGTTATTTTTCCTGCAGGCCACTGTGGCTTCATAAATCCTGGTGCTGCAGCAAGGTGGCAGGAAAGCACAGGGAAGAGGGACAGAGGGACAGCTGCCAGCCTTTGGGACACTGTTCCCCGCCCGCCTGGGTGAACAGCTGCTGGTACACCCAGCCTGGCGTGTTTTCTCCCCAAAACCAGCCTGGCCTGGGGGTCTCTTTCAGCTGCCCCGTAAAGGAAGGGAGGAAGGGCTGCATCGCTCTGGAATTCTGGGGAGAACAGCATGTTCCATGTTCTCCCTGCTCCTGGGGCTGGACGAGGCCTCCTCACCACGGCTGGACACTTCCTGCACGTCCACCTCGCCTCCCCCTGCAGCGTGCTCCTCTGGGCAGCGGCCAGGCCAAAAAAGGAAACTCCCTATCGTGCCAGAAACAAAACTGTGATAAATACGAGGGGATAAGTCACAATAAGCGTGACTGGCTCGGGATCCAAACACAATAATGTGGGAAGGAAAGTTTTGTTTTCTTGCCCCTCGCGCCTACCCAGCCCTTGGACACAACAGAGTGAATTCTTAAATGAATTTATTTAGTGAGTACCTGAGGAGAGCAGAACAGACCTTCTGCTCTAGCACAAACAATGCAGTGAGGGGACTGAAAGGATGGCCTTGGAAGGTGCCTTCCTTTCATCCCACACTGCACAATCTAACAGTTCTGGATGCAATGGGATCTGGGGTTAATTTGGAAAGGCATGTCACATTTAAAGGGAGAGGAAAATCCTCAGCCTGATCTCAGGGTTATCACCTTGCTAAAGCTTTTGTGTCCTCACGGTGTAGTGGGAGGGTTAAGGGGTGAAAAATGTCAATTTTGGAGGTTTCCAAGCCTACAGGACAGGGCTGGAAAGGATCTTTTTCCTCTGTAGACAGTCTGTTGTGCTTTCATACAGCAGGAGCAGCATCACCCTCTGCAGGGGATCCAGAGTCAATGCCCAAAACCTGCTGAGCTGAAAGGCCCCAAAACCCCCAAAAACCCCCAAAACCGTGAGTTTATAATGTCCCCTGCCCCAGGAACAGGAGAGAGTCTCTGCTGCTCCCACCCCAAAGAGCTTCCTGGCCTGCCTGCAGAAAGAGAGGGAGGGAGGCAATGCAGCCTGGGCACCAGGCAGGTTTTGGGGATTCACGCTGTGGGGTCTCCAGCAGAAGGTGTGCAAGTGCAGAAAATCCAGAGCAGGCTCTGGGCTGAGCAGAGAGGACACCCAGCCCCTCATGGATGAAGAGGGAGCAGTTTCACAGGTCTGGCACGGGCAGTTCATGGTTCTCTGTCTCTGGAAAAAGCTCATTTGAAAGACAAGAACTCCTCATGCTCTCCCAGCAGCAGCTCAAGGTGCCCGTGGCTCTCTCCCCTCCAGGCTCTCAGGAACCTCCAGCCCACCTGACCTCTGCTGGGAAGTCTCTCTGTCCCAGATGACCTCTGCAAACCCTGCAAATGTTAATGGGTGGAATATCTTCAAAGAGTGCCTCTGATCCTGCAGCCAGGGGTTGTTCTGCCTATCGCAGCGGAAGCGCAGGAATGCACAGTTTATTTTAAATAATGCACTTGTCCTAATGGTGGTGATTTCTGAGCCTCAGCCAAGCCTTTGCACGTCATTCCAGTCTGCTGTGAAGGAATGATTGGCCTCTTCACACTTTTGATCTTTGCAGAAAGGAGCGTGTGGCATTTCCAGCCCAGATGTTCCCGATGCTGCACGGAGAAGTTTCTCCCTAAGGGCTCACGCTCACATTGGTGAGGAGCTGAGGAGCTTCTTGCAGAGGTAAAAATTCAATAAACACTAAAACAGCTCTGTCAAGGTCATCTGAAATCACAGGAAAGACTCTGAATGAATGGCAGCTGTGAAGTGGTGGCAGACACTGTGGAACCTCTGGTGTGAGTGTGGGGATCCAAGGATGTTTTCCTTGGGTATCTCAGACAGGCAGCTGGGGATGGGACACTTCTGTTCCTCCTTCTGAAGGCACAATGGGTCCAGAGCCCAAACTTGTGACTGCAATCCTGCCTGAGCAGCAGGAAGTGCTGGCCTGTTCTGCAGGTAACCCGAGCAGCTGACAGAAGAGTTGAAATAAACACACCCAAAAAAAGCTAAAGGATATTTCTGACATTTCCTGGTTCAGAGCACGAACCAGGCTCTGAGCTCTGCTCTCCTTCCTCCCCCCTGGCCTGTGGGCAGGAGCAGGACCCTGCACAATACAAGTCCCTGGCTCCGAACCTGCAATTCCTGAGCACTCCTGCAGCTGCAGTTGGTGCCTGTGAAAAGCTGGGCGTCTCCTCCTAGTTGGTTTTGGCACCAGTTTGACTCGTGGCTTTACTTAAGTTTTTTATCTGCACTTCGAGCATCCTGGTTTTCCTCTCCAGCTCCTCCCGCGAGCGCTCCGCGTTCTTCAGCCTCAGCTCCAGCTCCCCACTCCTCTTCCTCTCCTGCTCCAGCTCCTGGTTCAGCCCCACCACCTTGGCCCACACCTCATAGTTCTCCTTCTGGAGGCTGCAAAGGGAAACAGAGCATGAAAGGATTGGGTTGGGTTGGGTTGGATTGGATTGGATTGGAAAAGGGCTGGGAAATCATTTGGCTCTCAGCATCAAAACAAGCCAGAGGTGCTGCCCTGAGCCCTTCAGTGGCCACACAACTTCAATAAGTCAATAAATGTGATCTGTGTCTATTGATAATGGGATAATAATTGTTAGCTGTCTCAGCACAAGCTGCTCCTGCAGTTACCTTTCCAGCTGCCCCTCGTAGTCACTCCTCTGCTCCTCCAACTCCTTCTCCAGCTTGTGGATCACGCCCTGCAGGGACTCCCTGCTGTCCTGCCCAGCTCTGGGCTCCTCAGCAGGGCTGCCAGGCTCCCTTGGCTCATGGCAGGGGCTGAAGCAGGGCAGGAATTCCTTCTCGGAGGCGCTGCTGGCAGGGCTGGGGCTGGAGCCGCTGCCCTCCGCGCTCTCTGCCACGTTGCTGTCACAGCTCGCGGCCCTGTGCAGGTCCAGCAGCTTAAAGAGATCGTGGGACAAGGTTCTCTTGTGCCCCTCACAGGCCAGGGGGCGCGGGCTGCTCTTCCAGAAGTCACTGGTGAGGACATCACTCCTGCCCTTGTCCCCGGGGGCTGCCAGGAAGGATTTCCTGCTGGGCAGGGTCTGGGTTCTTTTCCTTGGCTGGGTTTTCCACAGCGTGGCTGTGGGCTCTGAGTCCTCCCCAGGCACGCTCGAGGTGGCAGCTGGGCAAGGGCTGCTGCTGAAATTGGGGTGATCCCTCTGCAAAACAGAGCCCTGGGGCAGCCAGGGCACAGAGCTTTACACAGGGCACACTGGAACCTGCTGGCCACACTTTTCCATTAAAATCCACTCGGAATTGCACCAAATTTATCATTTTTGCAGGACTGCCTTTGAAGAAAAGCCTTTCACCCTCACTGCTTTCCCCTCACCAGCCTGAGCTGGAAAGGCTTCATGTGCTCTGGCCAAAAAGCTTTGGGAGTTTTCATATTCCCCAGAGCAGCAGATTTTCCACAGGAAAGTGGAAAGTTTATCTACATCATTTTCCTGATGTAAATATTCCAGGGGTGACAGACACAGCTTTTGAACCCAAAAATAGCAAATGCTTTTAGGACTCTCTGACCTGTCAGAGCCTGCCACAATTAACCACACGTTTAATGAACGTAGGTTAATTAATTTATTTATTTAATGAACCCAGCCTTACCATCTGCCTTGGGGTGGGGCCCCTGGGGTCCTCTGCAGCCCCCCAGCCCACGGAGCTGCGAGGGACAGGAGCTTTCTTCTCGTTTTTGGGGGCAGGTGGGGAGGGAGGCTCGTCCTTGGAGGGGGGGAAGAGCTTCTGGTGGTCGCTGATCATCACTGTCATCACCTGCTGCACCTGGGGCGTGCCTGGGGAGCAGAGGGCATCAGGGCACAGCCAGGGACCCCCTGGCACCCCAGGGTTGTGCTGGCTGAAAGGGAGGTGCGGCAGAAAACCAGTGGGGTCATAAAGCAAAATGAAGTAAATGGAGTGAGTAAAAGTGTGGGAAATGGGTTTGTGGAAAATTCTCAATACCTGACAGAAGACTCACATGGTGTACATCTATATACAAGCCTTAAGTGACTTAAAAATACCAAAAAATAAGACAAATCTTGAAAAAAACTTAACTGGAAATAAGTTTCAAGAAATAACCTTACAAATAAGACTAAATACTTTTTAAAAAAATAGAGCTAAAAATATAAATAAATATTTAAATATATATATAATATATATAAACAAATATATATCTATTTAGATATATATAAATATATATTTATATTTATTTAGATATAAATATAAAAATAGAACTAAAAAATAAAAAAATACTTTATAACAAGACCCACAAAAAGTAATTTTAAATTATTGACTTTAAACATTTACAACATAGTGTAACTGAAAGTAATAAAGCAAAAAACACTTATAATATATTGTCATTAAAAAATAGCTAACTTCTAATTGTAATAACGTAAATTATGACATCTATATTATCTCACCCTTCACATAAGACTAAAAGTAGAATAAAAATTTTTAAAATAACTCTCAGTTACCCCATCTCTAAGTAAAAAAGAAAAAAATATATATATACATATATATACATATATATATATATATATATATATAAAAATATATATATATATATATATAATCCACCATAAAAGTAAAGGAGCACCCACATTTATTTCACATTTCCCTGAGTTCCCTCTGCTCCCCCAGGAAGGATTTTACACCTTCCTGCTCTGAGCAGCTCAGAGGTGACCTCAGCAATTCCCTGAGTCTGCTGAACTCCACGAGGGGAGTTTTTGTCACTTTGTCAGTTCCTGAGGGGTTTTTTGTCACCACAAACACATTTACAGCCCAACAGACACAGCTTCACTCTGTGCCCTGGCACATTTCTGCCTTTCTTTCAGCTCCACCACTGAAAATCTTTAATTTGGAGGCTGTGAATGCCTCAAAATTGAAATATCCTCCAGGATATGAAATTCCTCCATATGCCTCAAAGTATTCCATATCCTCCAGGATATGAAATCGCTCCAGGGGTCCCTTTTACCTCTCATGATGACTGCAGGGTCCTCCACCCTGGGCCTGATCAGGTTCACCCCCATCACTGTGGCCAGGTTGTCCACACTCATCTTGTTGACACTGGAGTTCAGTTGGATTTCATAGAGAAACCTGCCAGGATTCCAGAGCGAGTATTTCACATTTCAGAGGTGAGATATGGCAAAAAAATCCTGGTGAAAAAGTCCTGATTCCTCCTCCCAGCTCTTCCTCTCAGTCACAAGGACAGAAACCCTCAGGACTGAATAAATGAGGAGTTTTGCTCCCCTTGGAAACAGCTCAGGAAGGAAGGGAATCCCCTCCTCAAATCCCAGCCCGGTGAAACCTGGAGGTTTTGGTTCACAGGGCTTGTGTCCAGGAAAGCTACACCTGGTTTGAATTCCCAGGGATTTATGGGTGGGGGTTCATGCTCAGACATTCCCAGGGGGTTCATCCCAGGGGCTGGAATTCTCCTCTGCCAAAATCAGCACCCGGTGGCTCCAAGGGAAGCCAAGCACAGCTCAGGGAGGCTCTGCCTGGAGGGGCCATCCCTGGGGTGCCATTTCTGCCCCCCAGCACCAGAGCTGAGCTGTCCCCGGCCCGGGCAGGGCACTGACCTGCAGATGTAGCTCAGGAGGTTGTAGTTGTCTCTGGGGAGGAGGGACAGCTGCTTCAGGAGCTCCTGGTGGCCCTGCACGGTGAAAAGCAGCTCCAGGAGGGTTCCCGGGAGCCAAGAACTGCTCCTGCTCACCCCAGCCATGCCTGTGTGGGGTCTCCCCGTGTCCCCACCCTGGGACAGCTCCAGACACGTGTGGTGGCACTCGGGGTGACCCTGGGGGTGCTGGTGGATGATCTTGGGGATCTCTGCCAAACTCAGGTAGTCCATGACTCTGGTCCTCCTGGTTTGCTCCCCTTGGAGCTCCATCTCTCCCTGGGATGTCCTGCAGGGCTCAGCAAGGAGGGGCAGCCCCAGCAGGAGCAGGGTCCCCCCCCAGCCCAGCCCAGCCCAGCCCAGCCCAGCCCTCTGGGAAGAGCTGATCCTGCCTCACCTCCTCCGGCATCTTGTGGACATTCAGGCCATTTTTAACCCCAAAGAGAAGCAGAAATTGAAGTTTTAAAATTCACAAACCACTGTGGCCAAGCTGGGAAAACCCCACTGGCTTTGGGGGAGTTTTTCTTTTTAAATTTTTTCCCTTTTTCTCTCCCCAGATTCCAAAGCCTTGTTGAGTGCCCTGCGGCTCAGAGCGTGCCCTGGCACTACAACTGATTTTAAGGCCGGGAAGAGGAAAACAAAAGCAGCTCTACCTTTGTCTCATCAGCCTCCAGAGCCTGCCCACAGAGCAGGAAATCCTCGTACTGCAGCCAGGGCACCACGGGCTCGGGCAGCTCCCGCAGGTACAGCTTGAGCAGGGAGGCCACGGTGTGGACATCGGTGTCCCTGCAGGGAGCAAGGGACACTCAGAGGCAGCAGGTACAGCTCGGGGACTGCCTCAGCCTCCCTGCCCTGCCTGGGGAACCTAAAGTCTCTTTTCTTCACCCACATTTAGCCTCAGCCTCCCTGCCCTGCTTTGGGAACCCCTAAAATCTCTTTTCTTCACCCATGTTTAACCAGTGGGAGCTGCGGTTCCTGAGCACCACCCTGGCTCTTGTCCCTGTGTTCACAGGGGTGGAGAACCAAGGAAAAGGGAGCAAAACCCTTCTCCCATTCCAGATTAAACCCTTCTGGAAGGTTCCTGCTGGATCCTCTCTCCTCCTCAACCCCTTCTGGAAGGTTCCTGCTGAATCTTCTCCTCTTTGAGCCCTTCTGGAGGGTTCCTGATGGATCTCCTTCTCCCCAAGCCCTTCTGGAGGGTTCTTGCTGGATCCCATCTCCTCGAGCCCTTCTGGAAGGTTCCTGATGGATCCCCTCTCTTTCTCAAGCCTTTCTGAATTCTTTCTCCTCCCCAAGCCCTTCTGGAAGGTTCCTGCTGGATCCCATCTCCTCCTCAAACCCTTCTGGAGGGTTCCTGATGGATCTCCTCCTCCTCAAACCCTTCTGGAAGGTTCCTGCTGGATCCCATCTCCTCCTCAAACCCTTCTGGAAGGTTCCTGCTGGATCCCCTCTCCCCCCCACCCCCCTCTGGAGGGTTCCTCATTCCTGCAGGGCTCGGGTGTTTCCCTGGAGCTGGGGCAGGGATGGGGCAGCAGTGTCACCTGCTGAAGGAGGGTCTCTCCCCGGCGTCGAAGGCGTCGCGCAGCTGCCGCACCAGGCTGTCCTGGCCGGGCAGGCGGAAGATCCCCTCCTCGGCCACGCCGTGCTCCAGGATGAACTCGGCGCTCTTCTGCACCACCATGGGCACCAGCTGCTGCCCAAACCTCTGCTCCTGGGCCATGGTGTGTGCCAGGCACTGCCCGAACACCCCTGGGGACACCGGGGCTCAGCTCAGCTGTGGCTTTGGGCTTTCCACACTCTGGGCTGCTACAGAACCCTGAACTCCACATGAAGTGTCTGCAGCTCTCCTCACTGCATTCACAGGGGTGGAGAACCAAGGAAAAGGGAGAAAAACCCTTCTCCTATCTCTCATTCCAAGCAAAACCCTTCTCCCACCTCCCATCCCAGGCAAAACCTTTCTCCCAGCTCCCTATTCCAAGTAAAACTTTTCTCCCATCTCCCCATTCCAGGTAAAACCTTTCTCCCATCTCCCATTCCAATCAAAACCCTTCTCCCACCTCCCATTCCAATCAAAACCCTTCTCCCATCTCCCATTCCAATCAAAACCTTTCTCCCATCTCCCATTCCAGGCAAAACCCTTCTCTCATCTCCCATTCCAAGCAAAACCCTTCTCCCATCTCCCATTCCAAGCAAAACCTTTCTCCCATCTCCCATTCCAAGCAAAACCCTTCTCCCATCTCCCAGCTCAGACAAACCCATCCCCTTCCAGCCCAGAAAAATGGGGGCAGAAAGGACGGAATGCACAGAACTCACAGGAATCACAGGAAGGATGGGCTGGGCAAGAAAAGGCAGGGGAAAAGCAAAGTGAGGAGACTGGCAGGTAAAAAACAACATTTTTTCAGGGCTTTATCCCTGAATGGAAGTTTTTCTCAGGAACATTTTTAGGGGGAGAAAGGAGGCTGAAGAGGAAGATGAAGCCAGCCAGGAAATGTTCGTCCTTGGCTCTCCTGAGCACTGCAGCCCCATTTTCAGGGATTTCTGAGCCAAACCCCCCCAGCTGCATTCCCAGGACAGAAATTCCTGGTTTTACCTCCCGAGGCCGAGCCCAGCGCCCTCCGCAGGGATTTCACCCACTCGTCCAGCTCCGCCTGCGAGCTGGCCATGAGCACGCAGGGCTCCTGCCCCGCCCGCGGCTGCTCGCCAGGAGCCCCTGCGGAACAGAAATGCACAGTTACTGGGCAGAAAAACACATTTATGGGGCAGAAAATATGTATTTACTGGGCAGAAAATACTCATTTACTGGGCAGAAAATACTCATTTGCTGGGCAGAAAAAACCCACATTTACAGAGTAGAAGATACTCATTTATAGGGCAGAAAATACTCATTTATAGAGCAGAAAAAAACACATTTACATGGCAGAAAATACTCATTTAAAGAGCAGAAAATACACATTTACAGAGCAGAGTGGGGTGTCCTCACCCGGGATGATCTCAAAGATGAACTTCCCTCCTTCCTCGGGGTTGGTGGCCAGCACGTTGATGGAGCTCCCCTGGAGAGCCAGGCAGCCCTAGGACAGAGCAGAGCCCTGAGTTTATACAGATATATATGTATAAATATAAAATTTTTATATATATATATTCTTGTGTATATATATATACACACACAGATATATTCATATATATATATATATATATATATATAGACTCGTGTATATATATATTTTTATATATATACAGATATATTTGTGTATATATACACAGGTGTATTTGTGGAGATGCACTACAGGGATTTTACAGCAGTAAGGGCACTTGGTAAATGCCACTTTTTCCACTGAAGCGATTCTCATCAGGAGAAAACCGCTTCTTTTTGCTCTTCTCTATTTTTATCTCACTTCTCATCTCCTTTAGCCCTTGTTGGGAGTGGAAGAAGAGAGAACAACAGAGAATGGACTTGGGAAATATTATTTTTATTATTATTATTTAAATTTTGTAGCGGGAACAGCTTTTCCAGCAGAGGGAACTTTTCCCAGGAATTTTTCCAGATGAGAAAAAGGTGGTGAGTACTCTAAAAGTGAGTTATGGCATGGAGAAAAGGGTGGGAAAGTAAAATAAAATAAAATAAAATAAAATAAAATAAATCTATGATACAAAATAAAATAAAATATACAATAAAATAAAATAAAGTAAAATGAAGAAAAATAAAGTTAAAATCTAAAATAAAAAATTAAATTAAATATAAAATAAAATAAAAACTAAAATACAAATTAAAATAAAATTAAATATAAAATAAAGTAGAATAAAATCTAAACTGCAAAATACAATATAATATTTTTAAAATAAAATAAAATAAAGAAAAATTAAATTAAATTAAATTAAATTAAATTAAATTAAATTAAATACATTTAATGGAATCATGGGATCCCAGAACGGCTGGGGTGGGAAAAGCCCCTCCGGTGCCTCCCCAGCCCCGAACCCTTCGGGGTCCCGGCCCCACCTGCGGCTTGGCCTCGTCCTCGTCCTTGTAGTAGAGCAGCTGCTGCCCGCGGAGCACGAAGAAGCGCAGCTGCCAGTTCTTCACGATGGAGCGCTGCTTGCGCAGCCAGCCCAGCTTGTCCGGCCGCGGGAGCGCCGCGGGATCCGCGGTCATCACACTGCGGGAACGGGCTGGGGACACACGGACACGGGTGTGGGGACAGAGGGACACAGGTGTGGGGATAGAGGGGACACTGTATGGGGACACTGGGTATGGGGACAGGGACACGAGTGTGGGGACAGGGGCTGGGGACACTGAGTATGGAGACAGAGGGAGACGGGGACGCTGGGTATGGGGACAGAAGGACACTGTGGGGACACGGAGACACAGAGTAGGGACAGAAGGACACAGAGTGAGGACACAGGGACACAGTGGGGACACAGGGAACAGAATGGGGACAGATGGACACAGAGTGGGGACAGAGAGACCCAGGATATGGGGCACAGGGACACAGAGTAGGGACACAGAGTGGGGACACAGGGACACAGTGGGGACACAGGGAACGGAATGGGGACAGAAGGACACAGAGTGGGGACAGAAGGACACAGTGGGGACAGAGGGACGCAGGGTATGGGGCACAGGGACACAGAGTAGGGACACAGAGTGAGGACAGAGGGACGCAGGGTATGGGGCACAGGGACACAGAGTAGGGACACAGAGTGAGGACAGAGGGACGCAGGGTATGGGGCACAGGGACACAGAGTAGGGACACAGAGTGAGGACAGAGGGACGCAGGGTATGGGGCACAGGGACACAGAGTAGGGACACAGAGTGAGGACAGAGGGACGCAGGGTATGGGGCACAGGGACACAGAGTAGGGACACAGAGTGAGGACAGAGGGACGCAGGGTATGGGGCACAGGGACACAGAGTAGGGACACAGAGTGGGGACAGAGGGACGCAGGGTATGGGGCACAGGGACACAGAGTAGGGACACAGAGTGGGGACACAGGGACACGGCCAGGCTCTGGGCCCCGCGCTGTGCCGAGCCCCAGCCCCGTTTGCAGAGGAAGTGGCTGCAGTGGCTGCCAGGCTGAGCTTCCCTTTGCCTGCGTGGGAGCAGCTGCCTCCCAGCGAGAGCAACACCATTGCTGAGGGGTTTTTTGGGGTTATTTTCATGGAGTGGGGGGGTTCTGCACCCTCCCCGGGGCAGCAGCCACAGCAGAGTGACCCCAAGGCTCTGGAGGTCCCCATTCTGCTCTGGGGTCGTCCCAGCGGGGCAGAACTCACATTTGTGGGGCTGGAAAATCTCCAGGGATGGGTTGGGCACTGGGCGGAGCAGTGTCCCTGTCCCCTGTCTGTGTGGCCCCGCTGGTGGCACGGCCCTGGCGCACCCCCAGATGCCTGGCAGGGATCATTCCCAGGGGGATTTTTGCCTCTGCAGCCCCCCAGAGCCAGCCCAGCTGGGCAGAGTTTGCGTTTTTGGCTGCAAGGCCAGAATAAAGCCATGACTGCAGGGAATGGGGCTGCACCTGGTGATTTCCTGAGCCGGAGAACCCTCAGGGTTCCGATGTTCACCTCAGGGCTGTCCCCACGTCCCCTCCCAAAGTCCCCCAGGGCAAGGAGCCCCTTTGGGGAGCCCCCCAAGCGTTTCCTGCCCCAACGGCCTCCAGGGTTGGGCATTTCCTCCAAAACCTCCTCCCCCAGCAGAGAGAGACCTGCCCCAAAACCAGGAGGGCAGGAGAGGCCACAGGGCCACCACTGGCCTGGGCAGGAGCCCCCCTGGCACCCCCATTGCTGGGGAACTGCAATAAAAACACAATAAAAGGGGTTTCACCGGGGAGTTTCTGTCTCACTGAAATCAGTTTCTTTGCAGTTCTCCAAAGGCTGCCCTAGGCAGGGCTGGGGGAGCAGGGGAAGTGTCCCCAGGCCACGAGGAGCCAGGGAGGGCAGTGGCAATCTGCAAACATTGCAAACATTTGCAAATGTGACTTTCACATTTCTGCAAGTGAAGCCACAGCAGCCCCGGAGACAGCGCAAACACACAAAGCCACAGAGAGTCACACAAAAATTCACACAAAGTCAAACTCACACAAAAACTCACACAAAATCTCACACAAACTCAAAGTCACACAAAAACTCATACACATAATGTCACACAAACTCACAAAAACTCACACAAAGTCACACAAACTCACACAAAGTCACGCTCACCCAGCAGCTGGAAGCTGCAGAAAGCACCAGGGGTTTCACCACAAGCCAAACCCAGCCCCAGGGTGGATTTTTGGATGGCCTGGGCTCAGGCTGGGCTCTGCAGCCCCTCCCTGACCACATCCTCACCCCTAAATCCCCTCCATGACCACCCCTAATCACCCCTAAACCCCTCCCTGACCACCCCATCATCATCACCCCTAAATCCCCTGTCCCCTCCAGCCTGGGCCTGAGCCTTTGTGCCACCAGAACAGGCCTGGGTGGTTTAAATCCCCCCAAACTCGGGTTCTGGGGGGCAGCAGCCCCGTCCCCCTGCTCCCACAGCATCCCTCGCTGATAAATCTGCAAATCACTTCTTGGAAATCATCTGCAGATCATCTGCTCTGTCTCTAGAGTGGCACCGGGGGCCACTGAGCCAAAATCTCAGCTGGGCTCAGGCTCAGGGCCCCCCCAGGCCTGTCCGGGCCCTGCAGACATGGAGGGGCACCAAGGAACCCTCATGGAGGAGCCCTCACGAAGGAACCCTCATGGAAGAGCCTTCGCCAAGGAACCCTCATGGAAGAGCCTTCACCAAGGAACTCTCACAGAGGAACCCTTATGGAGGAGCCCTCATAGAAGAGCCCTGACCGAGGAACTCTCACCAAGGAGCCCTCACGGAAGAGCCCTCACGGAGGGGCACCAAGGAGCCCTGACAGAGGGGCCCTCAAGGAGGAACCCTCACAGAGGAGCCATCACAGAGAAACCCTCACCAAGGAGCCCTCACGGAGGGGCACCAAGGAACCTTCATGGAGGAGCCCTCATGGAGGGGCCCACACCAAGGAACCCTCATGGAGGAACCCTCATGGAGAAGCCCTCACCAAGGAACCTTCACCAAGGAACCCTTACGGAGGAGCCCTCACGGAGGAACCCTCACGGTACCTATTTTTGCAGCGTCCATCTTCAGGTTGAAATCCCAATTCCGTGGCAGCTTGAGGGACATGCTGGATCAGGAAAGTTCTTGTTTTTCTCCTTCCTCAAGGTGAGCTTGTTTAGGAGAGGGGCTGGAACCAAGCCCTGGCGGTCCCGTGGGGGTCCCCCCACCAAGAGCAGCGGCCCGGCGACGCTCGGTTTGCCAGCGAGCTTCCTGCCTCCGAGAGCAGCCAAAACCCCATAAAAGTCCTTTCCTGCCCTGCTTTCCTGCCCAGCTCTGGCTCGCCCAGCCGCGCTCCCCGCCGGTGCCAGCCCTGGTGCCCCTGTCCCCTGCCCAGGCCCGGGGCCGCCAGCCCAGCCCGGGGCCGCTCCCCGGGCGCCGCTCGGGGCATTTGAGGAAGTGCTGTCAGCAGCTCTGCCCGGAGCTCCGAGCGCTGCCCCGAGCGGGAACAGCCCAGCCCGGGGCCCTGCGGGTGTCCTGGGGAGGGGCAGAGCTCGGGCTGGGCCCAGGGTGGCGCCCGGGCCCGTCCTGGGCACCCTCGGGTGGCACCAGGGTTTGGGTTTGGCTTTGCCTTGGCAGCCAAATGGGGATGGAACGGGGAGGAAAGGACGTGGAAAGCAGAGGGGAGAGCACCAAGGGGTGGCAGGGATGTGGAGAGGGGTGGGAGGGAGCTCAAAGCCCACCCAGTGCCACCCAGGCCATGGGGGGACACCTGCCAATGTCCCAGGGGAATCCAGCCTGGCCTTGGGCACTGCCAGGGCTGCTGTGGGCACCTCTGCCAGGGCTGCCCACCCTCCCAAGAACAATTCATTTTTCATTTTTAAAAATGGTTTAATTTTAATCTTTTGTTTTAATTTTAATATTTTAATTTTCAATTTAATTTTAATTTTTCATTTTAATATTTTTAAAGTGTTTCATTTTAATGTTTTGATTTTAATTTGATTTTTATTTTCACTTTCGATTTAGTTTTAATTTTTACTTATTTTTATTTTTAATTTTAATATTTTCGTTTTTATTTTTATTTTTAATTTTTTTAATTTTAATTTTAAAATTTTAACTAGAACTCTGCAGACAGCTGAAGGAGCTGCACATTTTGCTCCCTTTTTCCTCAGCCAGGCTCTAGAGCAGCCCTTTCTCAGCTGTGTCATGGGCAGGATGTCACGAGGCCTGAACGGAAACTCTGCCTAAACCCAGAGCTGGGCTCAGCCCAGGCTGGGCCCAGCAGAGCTCAGAGCTCAGCCCAGGCACCCCAAACCTGCCCTGGGACACCCTGGGACCCCCAGCTCGGGCAAGGAGAACAGCAGGATTCCCTCTGGAAATCTGCTTTTTTCCAGGTTTAAAAATGCAGATTAATTTGGCACAGGATGGGGGGAAAGCAGGGGGAATCTGCATTTTTCCAGAATATTGAACATTGCTGAATACTGACTATTCCTGATTATTAAATATTGCTGACTATTTTTCTCCAGGAAATCCCTCAGGAAGGAGAGCCCAGGGCAGGGAATAGGGAATGTGAGCGTGGAAATCGTGGAGCACCCACGGCGCTGAATGAAACTCCCCCCCAGGTAATGGAATTTATATTTATTTAACAGTAACATACAGTATATAAATAGGGTAAATACTTTAAAATATACAATATTTCACATTCGAACATTCGGTCAAAGGAAGGCAACTCTACGTGTGCAGCTAGAACTGGAACCAAAACCAAAGCACAGGGAAAGAACAGCCAGGGCTGGAGAGCAGGGGCTGCACGGGAGCACAGAGCTGCCACGGGGCTGCCACGGGGCCTTGGGGACACAGCTGTGCCCTGGAGGTGACATTCCCTGGAAGGGGACATTCCCTGGAAGGGGACATTCCATGGAAGGGGACATTCCCTGGGATGTGACATTCCCTGGAGGGGACATTCCCTGGGATGTGACATTCCCTGGAAGGGGACATTCCTTGGGATGTGACATTCCCTGGGATGTGACATTCCCTGGAAGGGGACATTCCCTGGGATGTGACATTCCCTGGAGGTGACATTCCCTGGGATGTGACATTCCCTGGAAGGGGACATTCCCTGGAAGGGGACATTCCATGGAAGGGGACATTCCCTGGGATGTGACATTCCCTGGAAGGGGACATTCCCTGGGATGTGACATTCCCTGGGATGTGACATTCCCTGGGAGCTCTGGGGGATGCTGCAGGATCCCAGCTCCACTCAAGAGCTGCCCTCAGCTCAGGGGCACTGCTGAGCCCAGGGAATTCTGTTTAACCCTGGGAATCCTGTTTAATCTGGTAAATCTGTTTCACCCTGGTAACTCTGTTTAACCCTGGTAATTCAGTTTCACCCTGGGAATTCTGTTAAACCCAAGGAATTCAGTTTCACCCTGGTAATTCAGTTTCACCCTGCTAACTCTGTTTAACCCTGCTCATTCTGTTTCACCCTGGTAATTCAGTTTCACCCTGCTCATTCTGTTCAACCCTGCTCATTCTGTTTCACCCTGCTAACTCTGTTTAACCCAGGCTGATCCCAGCTCCGGTCCCTTCCTGAGCAGGGCCAGCCCCACCTGGGCTACAACCAGGCAGGGAAAAGCAAAATTCCCACCCAGCTGTCCCCAGGCCTGGCCCAGCCTTGGGTCAAACCCGTGTCCAAACCCAAAAATCACCTGGGGGTGCCCAGTGTGCCATCCCCACGGGCACTGCCCCCTCCCTGGCTGCTGGCTCCACACCCTGATGGGGATCCTGTCCCTGTGCCCTGCTCCCAGCTGGCAGCACTCCCCTCCCCTGCCCTGCACCTTTGCACCTTCCCTGCTCTGAACCTCTCCCTGTGCCAGGCCGAGCTCCAGCCCTGCACATCTGCCCCGTCCCTGGGGTCACTTTGGCCCCAAATCCCCCAAGTTCAGCGTCCCCACGTGGGCTCCTGCACATCCCCGGGCAGCAGGAACAGCCAGAGCCAGGCCTGCAGCTCCCATCCTTCCCAAACTCCCAGCCCAGGCCCAGAGCACACCTGCAGGATGCCCCAGGAGGTGGGACAAGATTTAACCCCCCTCCATCCCAAACCCAGGGTCCAACTCAGCTGCCAGCCCTGTGAGCTCAGCTGCACGACCTGCAGACAACCCCAGACCCAGCTCCCTCCCAGCCTCCACTGTTCCACCCTCTAATGGCTTTGAAGGGATTTTTTCCATGCAGGAAACCCTGCCCAGGCAGCTCTGCCCCTGAGGAGCAGCCCAGGTTTGGAGGGAGGGGGCAGGAATAAAGCTGGTCAGGGAATTTCTGATCAGGAAATGTCTGATCAGGGCATTTGCTAATCAGAGAATTTTCCCATCAGGGCATTTTCTAATCAGAGAATTTTCTTATCAGGGTATTGTCTGATGAGGGAATTGTCTGATCAAGGAATGTCTGATCAGGGCATTTTCCAATCTGAGAATTTTCTCATCAGGGCATTGTCTGATCAGGACAGTTCTGATCAGGGAATTAATTTCTGATCAGGACACTTCTCATCGCAAAATTAATTTCTGATCAAGAAATTTTCCCATCAGGGCATTGTCTGATCAGGACATTTCTCATCACAGAATTAATTTCTGATCAGGACTCTTCTCATCACAGAATTAATTTCTGATCAGGGCTTTTCTAATCAGGACATTTCTGATCAGGGAATTCATTTCTGACCAGGCCATTTCTGGCAGGGCAGGCACCCCAGGCAGAGCTGCTGCTGCTCCCTGGAGCTGCTTTGCCCTCCAGTGCCCACAGGCAGCACTGACAGCCCTGGCCCAGCAAAGCTCTGCCCTGCTGCTCACAGCACGAGAGGAACTAAAGGGTTAAAGCAGACGAGCAGGAGACTAAAAACCCACCAAGGGATTTCTCACTAAGGACAGAGCACAGCTTTGGGATATTTATCAACACTGTCACTTCTGCCAGGGCTTTGGGCAAAGGGCAGGGGCACCCAGGCAGCCCCCCTGGCACTGCCCCACACTAAAATTAATTTAAATTAATTAACTCTGCCCAAACACTGCCCTGGGCAAGGTGGGGGCACCTCCTTCTCCTCTGCAGTTTCTGTGTCGGGGGCTTGCAGCAACATCTGCTCCATGGACAGAGAGTAAATAAAAACCTAATTGCAGCTGGAGGGGAGCAAGCACAGGAGGAATCCACAACCAGGAGAAAGCCACAAGAACACCACAGGCAGTCCTGGACAGAACCTTCCAGCAGGAACTGGGAATGCTTTGTGAGAGCAGAGCCTCCTGTGCTTCCCACCCAGCCTGCCCAGGGAGCAGAGCCCAGCCCAGCCCCACAGCAGGGCAGGAGAGGGCATGGCTGGCACCTCTGCTGGGCATTTACACACTCTCAGGCTGTGAAAAACTCTCAGTTTTGGGCATTTTCAGGTGGTTTGTTCTCTGCTGATGCCAAGCAGGTGCAGGGGCTCACGTGTGGCTGAAGGTTTGTGGCAGCAGCTGCTTGAAAACCCCAATGTATTTGAAAACCCCAATGTATTTCTACATGAGCTCTCCCTGCCACTCGTTCCCTGGGCTAAAACAAGGTAAACTTTCTCTCTCCCATGCACAAACTATGGAAAGAAGGAAAATCAGAGTCCCCTCGTGTTTGCACGAGGAGTAAATGGGGATATTTTCACTATCTGGTCACAAAAAAAATAAAGAAAAGAAAAAAAAAAAAGGAAAGTTTTACAATCTTTAGGGCTCTCTCGTTTTTAAATAATAAAAAAGTATGACAAAATAAAGGAAAGTACTTCATAAAACCTGCAGCTATAAAGTACAAACTACCTCTGACAAGATTCAGTGAGCCAAGCAGGACAGAAGCCTGCAGAGAAATGAACCCAGACTGAAATGCAACACAGACCTTGGTAAACTCAGCAGCACGACTTCTACAACTCAAGTAACAAACAGACATGATCCCTGAAAGAAAACAAAACCTCCAGAAACTGCCTGGGAACTGCTGCCCAGGCTCCTTCAGACATCCCATCTGGGGTTTCCAAGCTTGGAGAAATGAAGAAGTGTGGTTTCCAAAGGTTATTTAATGGGGGAAACAAACCAAGGAGTTTAAAAATTCTTCTCACCTGGCAGGAATTGCTCAATGAAACTTCTAAATCTCATTTACTTCCATGGGTTTTGGGGGAATCTGAAGCTCCCACGTTCCCACACACAGCTGCCACTCCCTGTGGCCAGCCTGCTCCTGCCTTGGGTGGCCACAGAAATGGGAGAGGCACTGCAGGAGCAGCACTGAGAGCAGCTGCAGCGGGAATGGGCTCACACAGGATCCTCTCCCTGTGCCAGGAGATCCCCTCGGGCAGGAATTGCCTTGGGACATTGCCCAGCACAGGAGGAGGGTCCCAGAGCTGCCCCCTGAGCAGGACAGCCATCCATCCCCTCCTGCTCCACCACCCCTCACCTCCTCCTCAGCTACAAACCCAGCGTTTGCTCTTTGAACCAAAGCTCTATAAATATATTATTTAGAAAAAAAAAATAAAATAAACCACAAATGCAAACATTTACCGAGAAAGGAAGAAAAAGTTACAGTGAAATGAGGCCTTGTTACTGTCTGAAATCAGGGGACTCCCTGGAGGAGGCCTGTGTGCTCTCAGTCCTGCTCCAAGCTCCTGCCTATGCATCCTCCAGGCTGGCCAGCACTCCCCTGTCCACCAGGTGAGCTTTGAGGGTGTTGAAGATGTGCAGCTGCTGCTCTGGCCTCAGGGTCAGGAACTGCTGGATCAGCTTGCTGGGGTTGGGGCCCCTGGAACACAAAATCAGGCTCAGCAAGGGCTGCAGTCCCACCAGAATGTTCATTGCTGTGCTGCCCATCCCCCTGGGAGCCTTTGTTCGCTGACAGGGTTTGAATCAGGTATTTCTCTGAGAGAGATTCAAACTCTGTCAGCAAAAAAAGGTGAAATATCTGACAGAAATTCAGGGCAGCAAGAAAAATTTAATACATGACAGAGATTCAAACCTGGGCTGCAAAAAAAGGTGAAATATCTGCCAGAAATTCAAACCTGGGCAACAAGAAAAGGGGAAATATCTGAGAGAAATTCAGGGCAGCAAGAAAAGGTGAAATATCTGATAGAGATTTAGGGCAGCAAGAAAAGGTGAAATATCTGACAGAAATTCAAACCTGGGCAACAAGAAAAGGGGAAATATCTGAGAGAAATTCAGGGCAGCAAGAAAAGGTGAAATATCTGACAGAGATTCAAACCTGGAAGCAATAGAAGGTGAAATGTCTGACAGAGATTCAGGGCAGCAATAAAAGGTGAAATATCTGACAGAAATTCAAGCCTGAGTGCATTTTTTAACAGAACCCTGGCCCCTGTGAAGGGAAAGCTGCAGTGGAGGAAGCTCCACCGTGGGCACTCACCAACAACCCAAAGAGAACAGCAGAAAATCCCCTCCAATAAAACCCTGCCAGGTTTCAGTGCTTTAAGCACAGGACCAGGTAGGTGAGCCTGTATGGTAACTGTCTGTAAATACAATGGGTTTCCTAATAAAAATCAAATAACAGAGAGCTGGATCACCCTCCTGAGCCATGCATGGCCCTGCTGTTACCTGATGAAGCTGGCAATGTAGACGTTGACAAAGGTGGCCATCAGGTACTGGCAGTCGAAGCGATCCATGATGCCCCCGTGGCCTGGGATGGTGTTGGCAAAGTCCTGCAGGGCACAGGGGTGGCACTGAGCCCCTCCCAGCACCTGTGCTGCCCCGCTGCCCCCACACACCTCACTCAGCCCTGCCCCACACCAAGGAAATCCGGTTTCATGTCTCCCTGCTTCTGGAAGTTTCTCCTTGATGGAGCTGCTGGGGCAGCAAGGCTCAGCTCAGCTCAAAGGTTAGGAAAGGCAAATGTTTAAAATGTTTATCTGCTGCCACCCTGCCCTGCCTTTCAAGGCATCCTAACTGAGCACAGGCTGTTTGGATGTGAAACCAGCCTGCAAGACACCAAGGGAAACCTCAGATTGCAAAATTTCCTGCCTGGGTCTTCCTTCCCCCACCTGCACCACAGCAGGGTTTGGAATACCACTATTAAAACATTAAGGTCTCTTCCCTTTTGGTCAAAAAACCAAATCCTGCTCCAGCATTTTATCTGTGCCTTAACAAACCTCCCTTCCCTGGAGCTCTGGGACTGCCTGGAGGGACAGCACCCACTTTGTGTCACCTCCCCAAAACCTCCATCCTATCCCCAAAACCTCCAGGACCTCCTCAAAACCTCCAGGACCTGCCCAAAACCTCCAGGACCTGCCCAAAACCTCCGTGTCCCCCCAAACCCCCGTGCTCACCTTGATTTTGAAGGCCCTCTTGAAGCCACTGGCGAAGAAGCCGCCGAAGGGCCCGATGAGGGAGGCGAAGGTGGACAGGGCGATGCTGTGGATCTGGAAGGGGTACATCCTCACGGTCCTCTGCACACAAACACACACACAGGGCACCTTCAGAGCCTGCCCTGCTCCCTGTCCTCATCCCTGTCCTCATCCCTGCCCCTTCAGAGCCTGCCCTGCTCCCTGTCCTCATCCCTGCCCCTTCAGAGCCTGCCCTGCTCCCTGTCCTCATCCCTGCACCTTCAGAGCCTGCCCTGCTGCTCCCTGTCCTGCTCCCTGTCCCCAGGCTGGAGCTCAGGGGACTTTCAGGTGGGCTCATGTCCCAGCAGATCTGGGATCGTTCCTTTGGGATCTCTGGAACTGAGCTCATGTCCCAGCAGATCTGGGATCGTTCCTTTGGGATCTCTGGAACTGAGCTCATGTCCCAGCAGATTTGGGATCTCTGGAACTGGGCTCATGTCCCAGCAGATTTGGGATCTCTGGAACTGAGCTCATATCCCAGCAGATCTGGGATCGTTCCTTTGGGATCTCTGGAACTGGGCTCATGTCCCAGCAGATTTGGGATCTCTGGAATGGATTCATGTCCCAGCAGATCTGGGATCATTCCCCTGCGATCTCTGGAATGGATTCATGTCCCAGCAGATCTGGGATCATTCCCCTGCGATCTCTGGAATGGATTCATGTCCCAGCAGATCTGAGATCATTCCCCTGGGATCTCTGGAACTGGGCTCATGTCCCAGCAGATTTGGGATCTCTGGAATGGATTCATGTCCCAGCAGATCTGGGATCATTCCCCTGGGATCTCTGGAATGGATTCATGTCCCAGCAGATCTGGGATCATTCCCCTGCGATCTCCAAACAGGGCCGCCCTCCCCCTTAGCTGTGACCCTCCAGAGCACAGCCCTGCCCCTCCCTGGCACTGCCAGCCCCAGCAGGGGCACAGGGACCCTACCCAGCCCAGCACGGAGTGCAGCAGCACGGGGATGTTGTACTCCTGCAGCTGGAACAGCTCCGAGGGCTCGCAGTCCACGGTGAAGCTGTTGGTGTCGTTGTTGAACTCCACGGGGCAGGTGAAGCAGCGGTACCCCGACATCACGTAGGACAGCTCCAGGGAGAGAGGGGAAAGCAGAGTTTGTCAGGGGAAAGGCTGTGCTATGGTCTGGGTGAGGGGCTGGGGCACAGGTTGGACTGGATGATCCCAGAGGTCTCTTCCAGTCTCATCATTCTGTGATAATAATGAAAACTCTGACTCTGTCCAGAGCCTCCACACAGCTTGGCCATAATTGGCCAATAAATCAAAATCATTCACATGAAACCAATGAAACAATCTCCAAGCACATCCCAAAGCAGCAAACACAGGAGAAACAATGAGATAAAATTGTTTTCCTTTTTCTCTGAGGCTTCTCAGCTTCCCAGGAGAGAAATCCTGGGCAAAGGGACTTTTTCCAGAAAATGTGACTGCCACACATTCTCCCAGGTTCATTAAGGAGATTAATTGTGGTAATCACATATCCTCTGAACAGAGATATGTCTCAGGAAGCTCTGAGAAAGCTCAGAGATTCAAACCCTGCCAGCAAGAAAAATTTAATACCTGACAGAGATTCAAACCCTGTCAGTCAGACAAATTTAATATCTGACAGAAATTCAAACCCTGTCAGCAAGAGAAGTTTAATGTCTGAGAGAGATTCAAAGCTGGGCAGCAAGGAAAGGTGAAATATCTGAGAGATTCAAACCCTGTTAGCCAGAAAAATTTAATACCTGACAGAAATTCAGGGCAGCAAGAAAGGGTGAAACACCTGACAGAGATTCAAGCCTGAGATCATTTTTTAACAGAACACCCTAAGAATGGAAAATAGGACCCTAAAAAAGAAAAGCTGCAGTGGAGGAAGCTCCACCGTGGACACTCACCAGCAACCCAAAGAGAACAGTGGAAAAAAATCCTCCAATAAAACCCTCCCAGGTCTTCTTTGGGGAGAGCTGCCAGAGACAGAGCAGAGAAATGAAAATTCTTGTAAGAAAAACGATTTACACCTGTAAAAATAAGAAGTCTATTCCATGAAAATAAGTAGAGAAAAACTGTAAACTGTCTAGAAAAAAAAGTTTAATAAACATATACAGTAACCATTATCATTATATATTATTAGATATATATTATTAGATATATATTATATTACACAGTCACTAACCATTATTATTTACCAATCAAGATACTAAGGTTCAATCATTTACTAACCTGATAAATTCAAACACAGTGCCTTCTAACACCATATAAAAAGAAGCTGTGTACAATAAAAATTCAATTATTCTAGAAAAACAAGGGTTGTGTCCATCTCTACAACAGCTGGACTCGATCATCTTCCCACCTCAGTGGTTGGATGATTTAATTTCATAAAATAAAACAAAATTAAATTAATTGAATTGGATTGAATTTAAATTCAATTCAATTAAAGTAAATAAAATTCAATTAAATACATTTAATTGAACTTTATTGAATTGAATTAATTCAAATTACATTCATTTCATTGAATTTTACTGAATGCTATTGAATTGAATTTAAATTAAATTAAAATCAGTAAAATTAAACTAAATTCAGTAAAATCCGATAAAAATCAATAAAATTAAATTAAATTTCAGCCTCAAGGAGTGGGATGCAGATTTAATTTGGAGACTTGCTTCAGTCCCAGAGGAGGCCCCAAAGCAGAGCTGGGGGAGCCCCACAGAGCCCAAATCCCCATTTTTTGCCCCCAAATCCCCATTTTTTGCCCCAAACACAAACCTTGATGAGCGGCGTGCGGCCGAAGAAGAAACCAAACATGTAGGCCATGATGTCATTGCAGATCACACAGGAGATGGGCACGATGAACCTGAGGCACAGCAGGGTTTGCACAGAACCTCTGGTTATTCTTAATATTTTTAATAATTCACAAAAATCAATAGAATTTAAAATAAACATTAAATTAAAATATTTATTCTGCATTTTTAAATTAAGAACTGATCTAAGTTACAGAATAGAGATGACACTGTTAAGAGAGAGACTGAACCAGGAAAAAGTCTTGACAAGTTTTAAAATATAGTTTTGCAAAAAGATTAAGTATTGTAGAGAATTAGAACTGTGAAAGAGGCATTGTGATAAGAATACGTAGAGTAAAAATGTAAATGATTAGTGTTAGAGTAGTGGTATTGTGTAATAAAAGTTAATTGATTAAAGAATTGTATTGATTAAAAAACAGATTAAATTTATTAGTGACAGAGTAAAAATATTTATTTAACTCAATAATCAATCGATTAATAAATTATTAATAAATAAATTATTTAAAATAGTAATTAGTTTCATTATTTTCAGAATAGAATAGAATAGAATAGAATAGAACAGAATAGAACATACAGAGGGATTCTATGAAAACCCACATTTTTTTCAGGCTGCACAGCCCAAAGCAGGGCAAACTCACCAGATCATTCCTTCAAACAGGTTGTGGATGATGAGGTGGGACTGGGTGACCACGATCAGCAACGTCACGTGGGTCCAGCCAAACTGCAAGAGAGGAGAGCACCCTCACAGAGCTCATTAATCCATTCATTATCTGTTTGTTAATTAGCCAGGGAAGCAGGATGAGCTCTCTGGTGCTGAGTTATTCCAGCCTGGGACCGCCCAGGAACATCTCAGTGCTGGAGGAAGATCTGAGCAGACAGGCTGGGTTTGACTGAACCATTGAAGCCCAAAATCAACCTCACCAAACCCCAAATTTAAACTCACCAAATCCTGAATTCAACCTCACCAAACTCCAAATTCAATCTCACCAGACCCCAAATTTAACCTCACCAAAACATTAATTTTAACCTCACCAGGACCTTGATTTTAACCTCATCAAGACCTGAACTTTAACAACACCAGACCTTGAATTTTAGCCTCACTAAAACCCAAATTTTAACCCCACCAGACCCTGAATTTTAACCTCACTAAAACCCAAATTTTAACCCCACCAGACCCTGAATTTTAACCTCACTAAAACCTGAATTTTAACCCCAGCAGCCCCTGAATTTTAACCTCACTAAAACCTGAATTTTAACCCCAGCAGCCCCAGGGCTGGCAGCTCACCATGTAGAACTGCAGGCGGTAGTGCTTCTTCACCAGGCTCAGCACAAACATGCAGAACCCTGCAGAGAGACAGGGGCACAGTGAGAGCTGCAGGTGCTGCTCAGCCAGAACCCAAATCCCTGCTGGGCAGCACCTCTGCCCTGCAGGACCCTGCCCTGGGGCCCCACGCTGCACAGCTGCTGGGGAACAAAATAATGCTTCACTAGAGTTCATTATTATAGATTTCATTATGTTAGTTTTTCATTAAAATATATATTTAAGTAAATATCATTTTCTATTTAAATAAATTAATAAGTATACATTATAAATATTTATACAGTATATATATTATATATTTTAAAGTAAAATATATATTTAAATAAAATACTGGTTTATATTTAAATGTATATATAAATCTATATTATATTTACTTATATATAAAATTATATTTTTAAGAGAAAAATATATATTTAAATAAAATATTTTATATTTGAATAAAAATCAAAATGTAAATATACATACATATTTTATTATATTTTTTAAATATAAAAAATAAAATATATATTTAATATTTAAATAAAAATAAAAAATCAAACTACAAATTTATATTATATCTAAATATATGATATATAAATATATATTATATACAAATATATATTATTATATATTGTATACAAATATGTATTAATATATGTATATATTGTATAAATACAATATATTAATATATTAATAATATATATTAATATATATTATATTTTTAAATGCAATATATATCTTTAAATAAATTATTATTTCTATTTAAATAAAAATAACAACTATAAATACAATAAATATATAAAGAACATATGAAAATTTTGGGGGTTTCTCCTCATTGCAAAGATTTCCCATTACTACAGAAAGATTTGTAACTTCCAACATCCCTGAGGAGCAGAGGAGATTTCCTGCACTGTGGGCAGATTTCCAGGTGTGCCCAGGTGTGCCCAGGTGTGCCCAGCTGTGCCCACCTGTGAGGTAGAGGGCGAAGGAGATGAAGCGATGGTATTTGCTGAGGATCCTCAGCGGCTCCTCCCTCTGCACCAGCGTGAAGAAATAATCAGTGACTGTCTCCCCGTAGAAGAAATAATTCACACACAGCAGGAAATACCTGGGAGGGGGAAAAAATTAATTTATACACAGCAAAAAGTACCTGGGCAGGGGGAGAAATAATTCACACACAGCAGGAAATACCTGGGAGGGGAATAATTTAATTTACACACAGCCGGGGGAAATAATTCACACACAGCTGCAAGTGCCTGGCCAGCTGAGAGCCCAGGTGGGTGCCCAGGTGGGTGGGTGCCCAGGTGGGTGCCCAGGTGGGTGGGTGCCCAGGTGGGTGCCCAGGTGGGTGCCCAGGTGGGTGGGTGCCCTCACTCACCAGCTGAGCGTCCTGAACCAGGGCAGGTCGTAGGAGTGGTACACGTTGTAGCCGATGGTGATGATCTCGTGGAAGCATTTGATCTGCACACACATCACCTGCACAGCAAGGACAGCGGGCATGGAACCCCTGGGCAACGCCTCTGCCCTCCAGGAGACAGAACAGAGCCCCTGGCACCTGCACAGCCCCAGCTCCTCAGGCACCTCCCAGGCCCACCTGGGAGACTCTGGGTGATGTTTTTCCCTCCCAATCCCACCTGGAAAGCTCAGAATGGAGTTTTTCCTTGCCAATCCAATTTTTCCATCCCAGTCCCATCTGGAAAGCTCAGGAGGGCATTTTTCCCTCCCAATCCCATGGCAGAGGAACCCAGGATCTCTGGACACGAGGCTGGAGCTGCCCCCAAGCTCCCCCCACTGCAGGGAAGGCCAGGACACCCCCCTGGAGCACTCACTATTGTCATCAGCACCATGGGGCCCAGGTAGATGATGATGAAGAAGAAGGTGATCATGGCCAGCGTGAGGATCCCTCTCACCCACCAGTTCTTCCATCTGGGCCAGAGAGAAGGAAAACATCAGAGAAAGGCAAGGCAGGGCAAAGCAGCCCAGCAAACTCCGCTGTCTGCGTGCACAGGAAGCAAAGCCTGCCCTGCAAACCCCAAATTTCCTCTCAGGGGTGCACAGAGACCTCGATGTGCTGATAAAGGCCTGGCTGCAGCTCAGCCTCAGTGGGTGCAGAGCTGAGCACCCCCAGGGCACTGAGGTGGGCCAGGGCAGCCCCTGCTCCTCTCTGCAGCTTCCAACCCTTGGACACACAGCCCCAGGGCACTGAGGTGGGCCAGGGCAGCCCCTGCTCCTGCCCTGCAGCTTCCCCAGCCCCTGGAGCTGCTGCAGGATGAATTCCCATGGAACGGGGACCATTCCCCCTCCCCACACTGCTCTGCACGAGGAGATGGCCCCTGGCTGTGGAACCCTCAGTGCTTGCTGCTGGGAAACCTCAGGGAGGATGGAGAGGGCAGTGATGGACAGCAGGGATGGACAGGATGGACAGGGATGGATGGACAGGGATGGATGGACAGGGATGGACAGTGATGGATGGACAGGATGGACAGGGATAGATGGACAGGATGGATGAACAGGATGGATGGACAGGGATGCATGGACAGGGATGGACAGTGATGGATGGACAGAGCCCCCCAGGGAGTGTTAGGACAGGATGGATGAACAGGATGGATGGACAGAGATGGAGAGGGATGGATGGACAGGGATGGATGGACAGGATGGATGGACAGTGATGGATGGACAGGGATGGATGGACAGGGATGGATGGACAGGGATGGATGGACAGGATGGATGGACAGTGATGGATGGACAGGGATGGATGGACAGGGATGGATGGACAGGGATGGATGGACAGGATGGATGGACAGGGATGGACAGGGATGGATGGACAGGGATGGATGGACAGGGATGGACAGGGATGGATGGACAGGGATGGATGGACAGGGATGGATGGACAGGGATGGATGGACAGGGATGGATGGACAGGGATGGATGGACAGGGATGGATGGACAGGATGGATGGACAGTGATGGATGGACAGGGATGGATGGACAGGGATGGACAGGGATGGATGGACAGGGATGGATGGACAGGGATGGATGGACAGGATGGATGGACAGGGATGGACAGGGATGGATGGACAGGGATGGATGGACAGGGATGGACAGGGATGGATGGACAGGGATGGATGGACAGGGATGGATGGACAGGGATGGATGGACAGAGCTCTATTCAGGCAGTGATGGACAGGAGGGATGGACAGGGATGGACAGGGATGGGATGGATGGACAGGATGGATGGACAGAGCCCCCGAGGGAGTGCTTTACCTCGAGGACAGGTTGGACAGGGCCCTGTTCAGCACCTCTGGGGTGTCATCTGAGGTGGGCACAGGCGAGGACCCCCCGAACTCGGACTTGCTCTCGCTGTCTGACGCTGTCTCTCCATCCAGCCTGTTCTCAGACTCCGACTCCTGCAGCACAGAGAGAGCCAGGCACCTTCAGCAGCCACGCTGGGCTGCCCCACGCTCACCGGGGAGGAGAAGGAAATCTCCTCCTTACCCCTAGCCAGGGGAACACATGAGAAACACCCTGAGGTGCTCAGCGGCACCAGGAGGGCTCTGCTGGCCCCTCAGCCTCAGAGCAGGCCCTGCACAGCCACAGGTGCCCCCAGGTTCATTCATGGCCATCTCCAAGCGCTCCAGGCCTTGTGAGCAGCAATTCTGACAAGGTCCCAGTCCCCAGGCAGGTCTCAGGGAATGCAGCACTGCCCGAATCAGCAGGAGAAAGGTCTCCAAGTGGGCAGGCTCCAGGCTTGCAGACAGCCTTGGGAGGTGCTGGCTGCTTGAGGACACTAAAAATAGCCCTGAGCTGATCCCCAGGCAGCTGAGGAGGAAGAGGGTGGCTTATCACCCTTATCAGCCTGGCCCAGGCATCCCCTAGGGCAGCAGCAGCCCCAGGTGCTGCACAGGGACAGTTGGTTTGGCCTCTTTCGTCCTCTGCACTGCACCTCATTCCCTCCCAGACCGCTTTCCTGTAGTCACCACATCTCCACATTTTCTGGGTTTGTTTGTTTTTTTATTGCATTTCATTTGATCACATCTCCTTTCCAGAGTCTGCCTTTTCCGTTCCACAAGATCCCGACAGGAAAGCGCCCTGCCCTGCTGCACGCAGCCAGGCCTGCGCCTGGGGCTGAACAAACCCGGCTGGGGCAGCTCGGCCGGGGCTGGGAGGGGATTCAGGGCAGCCCCGGCCCTCCCAGGGCCCCTTTCCCTCTGAGCAGAGCCAAGGCCAGAGCTGCAGCACGTCTGCCCTGGTTTCAGCTCCATCCTGCTCCTGCAGGAAGGGAAGGAAGGAAAAGCCACTCCCTGGGGAGCACCCAGCCAGGCAAACTCCCTGAGAAAAGCTCGGGGGGAGCTGAGCTGACAAATGCTGCAAACAATGAGGCTGCAGGGGATGAAGGCTCAGTGTGTGCAGGGCTCCAAAACAACCCAGCCTGCTGGGTGCAGCTGGGGGTGCTGCTCACTGCAAGCAGGAAAAGGTAGTTATTCCCCCTGGGATAACTGATCAATTAATTTAATTTATTAAATTAATTTATTATTTAATAATAATAAAATTTTTATTATTAATATTAATATTAATATTATACATAATATATTGCCACTGCAGCCACTGACACGTCTTATTGTTATATATTATACATTATATATTATACCTTATACATTATATATATTATATATTAATTATATGTTATATAATTGTTATATATATAATATGTTATATATTATATATTATAAAATAATATATATTTATAATATGTTATAAATATATAAGATACATAATATATGTTATATATTATATAATAATATTATATTATATATGTTTGTGTTATATGTTATATAACATTAATAATAATAATAATAATAATAATAATAATGTCAGTGGTTGCAGGCCAAGCTCTGCAATCAAACAGATCAGACAGGGACAGGGAGGCTCTGTCAGGTGGAGGCAGCTGAAAATCCCTGGGGGATGTCAGGGGTGATTGCCAGGGACGAGCAGAGCTGCAGAACATCGGGGAAAGGAATGCAGGAACAGAATCGGAATTTATCCCAATTCCCTGATTTCTGCACGAGGCACCATGAGGAGAAAGAGCAAAAGCCCAAATCTCTGCCAGGGCTGGGAAAATCCAGGTTCCTGCTCACTCTTCCTTGTTCCTATCCATGAAACCCAGAGCTCTGAGCAGCGTTTGTCAGCAGATATTTCCCCATCCTGAAGGGAAGACACACAGAAAACTGAGTTTGAGCTCTCTTCAAACATCTCCCCTCCCTCCAGAGGGCGGGGAGACATTTCTGCTCACATTGAGATGGTTTTTGTCACACAAACATCCAGCCATGATCTCACTGCCATGGAAACGAGCCTGCCAAAAACCCTCAGCACAGATCCAGCACAGATCCCAGCTCAGATCCAGCACAGATCCAGCCAAAAACCCTCAGCACAGATCCAGCACAGATCCAGCCAAAAACCCTCAGCACAGATCCAGCACAGATCCAGCCAAAAACCCTCAGCACAGATCCAGCACAGATCCCAGCTCAGATCCAGCTCAGATCCAGCCAAAAACCCTCAGCACAGATCCCAGCTCAGATCCAGCCAGAAATCCCCAGCACAGATCCAGCACAGATCCCAGCTCAGCACCCAGGCCTGGCACATGGAATCAGCCCCAGAAATGCCATTTTTTAGGTGCTCTCCTTGGAGCCAGGCACTGTTTTAACCAAAGGCTGTGACAGAAAATGTTACAAAATAAATGCTGGAAAGGGAAACGGAGCTGCTTTTCCAGGCAGCAGAGCTGGCAGCTGGAACAGGAGGGACACAGGATTGTCCCTCTGACCTTTAGGGACACAGGATTGTCCTCTGTGACCTTTAGGGACACAGGATTGTCCTCTGACCTTTAGGGACACAGGATTGTCCCTCTGACCTTTAGGGACACAGGATTGTCCTCTGTGACCTTTAGGGACACAGGATTGTCCTCTGACCTTTAGGGACACAGGATTGTCCTCTGTGACCTTTAGGGACACAGGATTGTCCCTGTGACCTTTAGGGACATAGGACTGTCCCTGTGACCTTCTTTAGGGACAGCTGAATCCAATCCCAGCTTGGCCCAACCCATTTGTTGTGCACCAGCCCTGCCAATCCCCCAACTCCCAAAATAACGGGATGTAAAACAAAAAAAAATGGAACATAAAACTCCCTGAAGGATTTTCTGCTGCACAGCAAACTCCAGCTGGGATGGACACACCCCGAGGTCTCACCTGTGCACATCTGGAGCCACCTCAGAGCCCCCAGAGCCACCCCAGGGTGACAATTGCCGGCACTTCTGTCCCAGAGCACAGCAGCACCACGAAGTTCCCTCAGACCTGCCCGTACAGCCTCCAGCAGGTGCTTAACTAGCATTAAAATAGCTTTAAAATTGCACTAAAATTGCATTTAAACTGCAGAAGTGCCCTGCCTGATGACTTCGTGCTGCTCAGAGCTGCACCCTCGGTGCACTAATGGAGCAAAGATCCATTTGCTGCTGCTGGGGCTGATGGATCAGTCCCAAACCCAGCGCACCAAAGGCAGAGCTGCTCCTCGCTGCAGCTCCTGCCAGCCTGCACACGCTGTTTACAAAGCCCTGTCCCCTCCTCTCGGGGAGGGGCAGCAGCAGAGGTGACAAAGGTGACAGATGACTCACGGAGTGACCCCGGGCACGCAGGGCTGGATGCAGGGATGGCACAGGGACACGGAGCCAGGGCTGCTGCCCGTGCCTCCCCTGCCTGAAAATGAAACTTTTCCCTTTGCAGAAAGGCAGTGACAGCCCCCGTTAAACCAGAAAATTCCCTGGGGTGGCTTGGGAGGGGCCAAACCCTTCCCTGAGGGATCCTGAGGGGTTTGGGACCCCCAGCTCCTTCCCTGGGGATGATTTAGGGGGTCCCAAACCCTTCCCTAAGGGGAGCTTTGGAACCCCCCCATCATTCCTTAGGATAACTGAGGGTTCCTTAGGAATGATTGAGGAGGTCCCAAACCCTTCCCTAAGGTTTCCTAAGGTTTGGGAACCCCCCCTGTCATTCCCTGGGGATGATTTAGGACGTCCCAAACTCTTCCTCCAGGCAGGCTTGCAACACCCCTGACATTTCTTAGGGACGATTTAGAAGGAACCAAACCCTTCCCTAAGGGCAGGTTTGGAACCTCCCTGTCGTTCCCTGGGGATGATTTAGGACACCCCAAACCCTTCCCTAAGGGCAGGTTTGGAACTCCCTTGTCATTCCCTGGAGATGATTTAGGGGATCCCAGGGCAGGTTTGGAACATCCCTGTCATTCCCTAGGGATGATTTAGGGGGTCCTAAGCAGGTTTTTAATCCCCCATCACTCCCTGGGGATTATTTAGGGGGTCCCAAGGCAGGTTTGGATCTCCGTTATTCCCTGGGGAGGATTCAGGGCAGGTTTTTAACCCCCCTGCCATTCCCTAGGGATGATTTAGGGGTCCCAGGGCAGGTTTGGATCCCCCTATTACTCCCCAGGGATAATTCAGGGCAGGTTTTTACCCCCTGTTACCCCCCAGGGATAATTCAGGGCAGGATTTTACCCCCTGTTACCCCCCAGGGATGACTATGGGCAGGTTTTTACCCCCTGTTACCCCCCAGGGATGACTCAGGGCAGGTTTTTACCCCCTGCCATTCCCCAGGGATGAGTCAGGGCAGGTTTTTACCCCCTGCTACCCCTCAGGGATGACTATGGGCAGGTTTTTACCCCCTGTTACCCCCCAGGGATGATTCAGAGCAGTTTTCACCCCCCGCTCATGCCCCGGGCCCGGCCCGCCATCCCCGCGCCGTCCCCACCTGCGCCCTGCCCAAACCCGCTCCCCGCCCAGCCCCGCTCACTCCTCCTCGCGGCCCCGGGGGCGGGCTCTGCTCCCCGGACCGAACACCCCGAGCCCGGGCCGAGCTCCCCGAGCGCGGGGCCCTCGCAGCGGCCTCACCGCGGGCCGCTGGGACCCCGCAGTGCGCAGGGCGTGCGGGCCCCGCTCCCCGCGGTGCTCCCCGGCTCTCCCGGTGCCCCCGCGCCCCGAGGCCCCCCGGGGCCGCTCCCTACCTTGTCCTGGGGGTCTCGGGCCCCGCCGGGGCCGCGCCCGGGCCGCAGCCGCGCCTCGCTCATGCCGGACCCGCCGCGCCGCGCCGCCGCCGGCAGGGGGCGACACCGCACCGGCAAAACCGCCGCCCACCAATGGGCCGGAGGGGCGGGGCCGGGGCGCCCGGGGGGTGGCCACGCCCAGGCGTGCCCGCGGCGCCGGCGGCCAATGGGAGGCGTGGGATAGGCGAGGGGCGGGGCTTTGGGGTGAGGCATGGCGGCGCCCAGGCGTACCCGGATGGAGGGAGCCGCCATGATGTGTGGCGGGGAAAAGTCCCCGGGTGCTGGGAGAAGCGTGAGGGGTTTGTGTTTAGGGACAAGCGGGTTTGTGCTATGGCCGCTTTTCGGTCAGCACACGGTGCCCGAGGAGAGGCGCGCCACCGAGCCGTCCGTACGGCCATGCAGGGACCGGGCCCTGCCGCCATCGCTGCGCAGCAAGGCAGGACGCGGGCCTCTGTAACCCGCGCGGTGATTGGCTCCCGCCGCACGGAGGGGCGGGGCTAAGGGAAAGAGCTGTGCTGTGATTGGTGGGAGCGCGGCGGGGCCCTGTATGTGAGCTCGGACGGGGGCTGGGCTAAAGGTGGAGAGTGGCGCTGGTGATTGGCTGCTGCGCGGCGGTGGGCGGAGCGACAGAGTGCATAAAAGGGGCTTGGCGGGCCGCCTCGCTGTATTTCAGTTGTTCCGTTGTCGCCTCCGTCCGTGCCGCTCCCGCTGGTGCTGCCAAGATGTTCGAGGCGCGGCTGGTGCAGGGCTCGGTGCTCAAACGAGTGCTGGAGGCCCTCAAGGACCTCATCACCGAGGCCTGCTGGGACCTGGGCTCGGGCGGCATCAGCCTGCAGAGCATGGACTCCTCGCACGTCTCGCTGGTGCAGCTCACGCTGCGATCGGAGGGCTTCGACACCTACCGCTGCGACCGCAACATCGCCATGGGCGTCAACCTGTCCAGGTCAGCCGGCGGCGGGCTCTCATAGAGCGCTGCCATGGGGCGGCCGAGCAGGCCCGCGGGCTGTGGCGCTCAGGGCAGGGTGTGAGGGGAGATGTGGGGGCGAGGGTTGGTCCGGAGGTGTGCGGGGTCCCGGGGGCGCTCGGAGCCCCCTCAGCCCTTTTCTTTCTCTCTCTCCCCCCCCCCATTCCCCTCACGGCTCTCGCGCCGTTTTTCGCGGCGCGCGCGGGGCGCGTCGTGGCCGTGACGTCACTGCCGGCGCCGAGTGGCGGGAAAAGGCAGCGCTGGGCGCCATGGCCCCGGCTGGGGGAGCGGTGACAGCTTCAGACCCTGCCGCGGCCTGGGAGCGACCCACGGAACCCTTCCTGCCCCGCGAGGTGCCCCTTCTGCCCCGCGAGGTGCCCCTTCTGCCCCGCTGCTCAGCCCTGTGAGGCGCTTCTGGAGCGCTGTGCCCGGCTCTGGGTTGTGCAGCAGAGCAGAGACACGGAGCTCCCGCAGCGGGACAGAGATGAGGGGTCTGCGGCGTGTCCGTTATGAGGAAAGGTTGAGGAGACTGCTGAGAGAGAGAAATCATCCCTGTGTGTAAATATCCATGGGAGGGGTCAGGATGGATCCAGCCATGGGACGGGAGGAACAGGCAGGAGCTGATCACGGGAGGTTCCACCCCGTGTATGTGGAGGAACTTTGTGGGTGACCAAGCACTGGGGGGCTCCCCACACACCCACTTTTCCTGATCACTGTAATATCCCATCTCCTCCTGCCCTGTCAGCTCCCAGCCCCGTGAGTGACCTGCCTTTGTCCCTTGCAGCATGTCCAAGATCCTGAAGTGTGCAGGGAACGAGGACATCATCACCCTGCGGGCCGAGGACAACGCCGACACCCTGGCCCTGGTGTTCGAGGCACCCAGTGAGTCGGATTGGGGAAATCCTTTGGTACTGGGGTGCAGGAGGGAGGGGAATGGCAGCGGGCCCTGCAGGGGTGGGAGGGGACCCCTGGTTCTTGGAACTGTCCGGAGATTGAAACTTGGTCAAGTTATAAAATATTAAATATTATAAGTAATTTAATATATAAGTAATAAATATTATAAATAAATAAATATAAATAATAAATATTATAAATAATTTTTTTTCTCTCGGGCTGCACACAGGTGGGTTTGGCTGTACCCTTGGAGCCTGTAAAAGGCTGCCAGGGCATTCCCAGAGTTCCAGCCCTAAGGGAACAGAGGGAAATCCCATTGCATTTATTGAGGTGGCCGTACCTGGAGGGAGTGGGCAGTAGCAGCAGTCCTGCTGCCATTTGGTGTCACTGAGCTTTGCTTCCCCAGACCAGGAGAAGGTTTCTGATTACGAGATGAAGCTGATGGACCTCGACGTGGAGCAGCTGGGAATCCCAGTAAGTAACCATGGGGTGACTGGAACACAGCAGCCCTGGGGCTGCCGGGGTGGCACTGCGAGCGCCCCAGGGCTGGCACAGTGTCCCTGAGGCCGTCCCCGTGCCCAGGAGCAGGAGTACAGCTGCGTGGTGAAGATGCCCTCGGCGGAGTTCGCGCGCATCTGCCGCGACCTGAGCCACATCGGCGACGCCGTGGTCATCTCGTGCGCCAAGGACGGCGTCAAGTTCTCCGCCAACGGCGAGCTGGGCAACGGCAACATCAAACTGTCCCAGACCAGCAACGTGGACAAGGAGGAGGAGGCTGTGAGTGGGGCAGGGCTCGGGGCTGGGGGGATCCTGGAATGGCCTTGGAAAGGGCATTTCTAGAGTGCCACCCTGGGCTGGAAAGGGCCTTTCTGCAGGTCCCTGAGTGCCACCCTGGGCTGGAAAGGGCCTTTCTGCAGGTCCCTGAGTGCCACCCTGGGTTGGAAAGGGCCTTTCTGCAGGTCCCTGAGTGCCACCCTGGGTTGGAAAGGGCCTTTCTGCAGGTCCCTGAGTGCCACCCTGCAGCGAGCAGGGACAGCTCCCGGTGGGTCCCCGAGTCCCTCAGTGTTGCCCTGGGAGCTGCAGCAGAGCTGGGCAGGCGGAGCAGCCCCGGGGAATCCTGCAATGCTGCCCTGCTCACCCAGGTCACCATAGAGATGAACGAGCCGGTGCAGCTGACCTTCGCCCTGAGGTACCTGAACTTCTTCACCAAAGCCACCCCGCTGTCCCCCACGGTGACGCTCAGCATGTCTGCGGATGTTCCTCTGGGTGAGTGCCTGAGCACAAGTGGAAGCTGAGGCTGGATTTCCTGTAGAACCCCCTGAACCCCCTGTTTCCGTTCTCTCCCCAGTTGTGGAGTACAAGATCGCTGATATGGGACACCTCAAGTACTACCTGGCCCCCAAGATCGAGGACCAGCAGGATGGCTCTTAACTGGAGCAGGGCTGGGGACATCTGCTCCTGCCTGGAGGAGCAACTCCAGAGCCAGGGAGCGCCCTGGGAGCACTGTAGCTGTGTCTTGTAGATATATTTGTAAATATTTTTCAACACTCTGTTTTGCTATCCTGGTGTCATTGGAAAAAGGAAAGCTGAGTTTTTCTAGTCTGTTCCTGTACTCCTAACAATCTCTTGGATGCTGTTGAAGGTGAAATTTTTTACTCCTTTCAGCTGCTGTCGGAGAAGAGGGGCAATATTTAATGGGTCAAGATGTATCCTGGAGTTCCCCCTGTGGAGCTGTAGCTTAGGGTTGCTGTTTTGTTATCCCACGAGTTTACGTGACCTTACTTCATTTATTTTTGAAGCCAATACTCTGATTGAAATTTGGAAAACGGAAATAAAAAATATAATTTCCTGGAGTGTGTTGTGTTTAAATGTGGGTGATGTGCCCTGACTCCCTCGTCAAGGCCCAGAGTTCAGCTCTGGTCACTCAGAGCTGTGGGAGAGGTGCCAGTCTCATCCCTGGGTGGCACCTGGGGACAGGGGTTCGTTCTGATCGTGCTGCTGGAATTCACGATCCCGTAAAGGCTTTTCCCAGCCTGATTCCCCGGTTTTCAGGACATTATTTTGGAAGTTCCTGAGGATGACCGGCCCGAGCAGCCGTCCGGCGGTGACAGCGATGGCACCAGGTGGCAGTGCCGGCCCGGAGCGAGCCCCGCTGCGGCCCGGGAGGGACAATCGCGGCTGGGGCCGGGGACATTCCCCGCCTGGGCTCCTCTGGGACCGCACCCCTGGCCAGCCTGGAGGGGACACCCTGGGACACTGGGAGGTGTCCCCGCCGCGGCACGGGTGGCACTGGGTGGCACTTGAAGGCCCCTCCCAACCCAAACCGTTCCAGCATTTTGGGTTCAGACGCTGATTTCAGCCGCCTCCCTCGTTGAGATCCTTCCCCATTCACCCTCCTGCACTTCAGGAGCACATCTGGCGAGGCACATCCTCCATCCCCGAGCTTTCCGCAATTCCGGGCCGGTTCCCCCGCGCCGAGGCGGGGCCGGGCGGGAGAGGCTGCTCCGGCCCCGCCGTGACCTGGAAGGGAAGCGGCGTCACCGGGATCAACTTCCCGGGGCCGCGGGGGGACGGGCGGGGCCGCCATGGAGCGGGCGGGCGGCAGGTACGGGCTGGTACCGGGCCGGGGGGTACCGGGGCTGGTACCGGGCCGGGGGTACCGGGCCGGGCAGGGGGGTACCAGGCTGGGCTGGGGGGTACCGGAGCTGGTACCGGGGCTGGGCGGGTACCGGGCTGGGGGCTACCGGGGCCGGGCCGGGGGTACCGGGGCTGGTACCGGGACTGGGGGTACCGGGCTGGTACCGGGGCTGGGCGGGCCGGAGCTCGGGGTGGGCTTGGAGTGGGCTGAGGTTGGGTTCGGGTGGGTTCGGGGTGAGTTCTGGATTTGCGATGGGTTCGGGTTATAGTTTGGGTAGGTTCGGGTGGATTCGGGATGGATTTGGGATGGTTCAGGTGAATTTGGGGTGGTTTGGGTGGGTTCAGGTGGATTTGGGGTGGTTTGGGTGCATTTGAGTGCGTTGGAGTGGGTTCGGGGGGATTCGGGGTGGATTGGTGTGTTCTGGGTGGATTTGGGGCGTTTTGGGTGGAATTCAGGTGGTTTGGGTGGGTTCAGGTGTATTCGCAGTGGATTTGGAGTATTCTGGGTGGATTTGGGGTGGGTCCCCTTGTCCCGCTCCCTCTGAGTCACTCAGCTCCATCTCGTTCCAGTTTCCAGTGGTTTGCGTTGGTTTTGTGTTTATTTGGTTGGGTTTGGTTTTTTTTATTTTTTTCCCCCAAAATTGCTCTCTTGCAACATCTCGTGGTGTTTGAAAGCTGCTTTGTTTAGCTCTGGGTTGGGTTTATTTGCTGCTGTCCTGCTCAGAAGCAGCCAGAGCTGCAGTGGGAGCTCTCCATGGAGTGAGAGCTGGCTCACACCTGGGCCCTGCCCGGGAATTCCCACCTGGTTTGAAGCACAGGCTCTGCCTTGGTTCCAAACATTGTTCCAGCTGTGTCCATCTTGCATTTCAGCCTTCAGATTAAATTCTTAGATCCTCTGTGGAAAAGTTTTAATTTACGAAGGGGAGCAGAGCTGCGTTGGGGTGGCTCGGCCTTGACAGGGGAGTTTCTCCTCGGAAACTTCGGTTCTGTGTCTCTCAGCCTGCCATCCCTGAGTTTCCTCTCCTGTTTCTGCCCCAGGCTGTAGCTGATGCCCAGGCCCCCCTGGCATGATGCCGTCCAGGACCAATCTCTCTGCTGGGATCCCCAGTAGCAAAGTGAAATATTCCAAACTCTCCAGCACCGACGATGGGTACATCGACCTGCAGGTAAAACTGGGGAAGGGAGCTGTGAATCCACAGCTTGGCCTTGCACAGGCTCCTGTGATGGTGTCTCTCTGTGCAGCTCAGAGAGGGACAAAGCTGGGAGGGAGCCAAACCCTAAATCTGACCCTAACCCTGGGCCCTTCCCCTCTGGAAATCCCAAAGAGCCTTCCTGGGAGCAGGGGCTGGCCCAGCAGGGTCTCCATGGGCAGAATTCCTCCTGGAGGGCAGCTCTGGAGCAGAATTCTGTGCTGTGCCGCCGTGGGAGGGGAGCTGTGCCCAGCTGAGCTGTTCAGTATTTGGGTTTTTCCCCTCCAGTTCAAGAAGAGCCCACCCAAAATCCCCTACAAGGCCATCGCGCTGGCCGTGGTGCTCTTCATGATCGGGACCTTCCTCATCATCATCGGCGCCCTGCTGCTGGCGGGGTACATCAGCAAAGGGGTGAGTGCTTCACACAGTGCTGGCACTGCCCTCAGGGGACATCAGGGGACAGCAAACAGCCCCAGGTCACACCAGGGCAGGCTCAAACTCAGCATTGGGAGAGGTTTGGTGTGGGGAAGGCCTGGCAGAGCTGCAGAGCTGCAGTCCCCATCCCTGGCAGGGTTCAGAGCAGAGGATGTGGCACACACGTGGGTCAGGGGTGACCCTGGGGGATCAGGGGTTGGCAGCTCTGCCTTATCTCAGGCAGCAGAGCAGCCTCTGGCGCTATCAGCAGCGCTCCAGCAACAGATCCTGGGCTTGGGCTCGCAGCTCCCAGCCCTGGCTGCACATCCAGGGGTCCCTGGGGGACAGTGGGGTCCCTTGAGGGTCCCTGCAGCAAGGATTGAGGGCTCAGCCCGATGGCAGCTGAGATGCTTCTGGTGGAAGATGGGTTTTCATTTCATCACCTTGGGGATGGGTCACAGAACCACGGGATGGTTTGGGTTCAAAGAACCTTCCAGATCACCTCCTTCTGAGAATTCATTCACATCTCACCTGCCTTGGGCAGACCAGGCGGGGTGTGAGAGGGAGGAGAGCCCCTCACAGAGATGCCACTGTGGTGCCCTGGGGAGGCTGGGCTAGAGCAGAGTTACAGAATAAAGCAGGGATTGATTCAAAGGATCTCCTGCATGGATCCACCTTGGGCAGCACCAGAGCCCAGCCAGGGCTGCGCCCAGAATGAACCAAAATGGGCATAAAATGAACCCAAAATGGTCACAAAGTGAACCCAAGATGAACCAAAATGGTCACAAAATGCATGCCTGGTCACAGGGTCTGTCACTTTTATAAGTTCTGCTCCATTTGCATATTGAAGTTAATTGTCCAATTATAGCTTTAGGTTACGAAGCTCCATCCTTCTTGTTTTTCCCTCTTCAATTCACATTGTTTGTGCTCTTGGGCCTGAGATTTGGGTGGTTGTCCTTGGTCCCCAGCTGGAGAAGGAATTGTTTTGACTTCCTACCCTGTGAAGAGAGCTTACAACACTTAACACAAAGCTGAGAATTGCAAACTAAAGCAGCACAGGAACTGAAAAATACTAAAGTTAAACCTGAAAATACCAAAGTTAGAGCCGAAAAATACCAAAATTAAAGCTGAAAATACCAAAGTTAGAGCTGAAAACACCAAAGTTAGAGCTGAAAACACCAAAATTAAAGCTGAAAATACCAAAGTTAGAGCTGAAAACACCAAAGTTAGAGCTGAAAACACCAAAGTTAAAGCTGAAAACACCAAAGTTGGAGCTGCACCATGCCCAGCCCCGTGCCCTGTGTCCCTGCAGGAGACCGACCGCGCCATCCCCGTGCTCATCATCGGCATCCTGGTGTTCCTGCCCGGCTTCTACCACCTGCGCATCGCCTACTACGCCTCCAAGGGCTACCGGGGCTACTCCTACGACGACATCCCCGACTTCGACGACTGAGCTGTTAATGAACGCGCCCTAATTAGGCCGGCGGTGCCCCCGGGTGCCGCAGGGCCCGGCCTGGAGGCGGTGCAGGTTCTCCCGTTTGGGGGGTGGGGGCTGCGGCCCGGAATTGACCAAAAGGAATTGCGAAGAACTTGGGATCCGTGGGGTTTTTTTCCTCCTCTCGGGGTTGGATAATTCCCCTCGCTGGGAAGCTCTTCCTGGGCGAGGCGATCCTTGCAGTTTTCCGAAAATAGAGCGGCTGGTTGCAGCAGCAATTTGTTTTTCCTCTAAGCGTTTTCTGGAGTTTAATTTAGCTTTCCATGACACTGTGGTTATTGTTGGGTTACCTTTGCAGACAGGCCATCATTAAACTCTCCTTCTGCTCTCAGTGTCCGTCAGAAACCTTCCCAACTGGTCCCGGGGTAAATAAAGTGTGGTGAGGGGGGAGATGATTTCCACACAGGGCACTGGCTCCAGAGCCCCCTGTCAGCCTGGCCACGCTCATTTCCCCACAAACGCCTCCCTGAGCCAGCTTTGCCCGTGCTGCTGCTGGCAAAACCTGCTTATCCTTCCCAGGGACTGCTGCCTGTCACTGGAACAACCAGATGGGTACTGGCAGAAGGATTGGAACCCAGACTCAAGTGTCTAAATACCAAAAATCTTGGGCTGGACTGATGTGGCTGTTGGGGACACCTGAACTCCAGCTGTGTCTTTTGGAGTCCTTTGTGTGGATAATTTGCTGTGCAGACCTGGCCAGGCCAGTGAGGAGAAGTTCTCTGTGTAGTTAGTGCTGACCAAACCCCTCTGGGTTGCTTTGCCGGCTTTGCTGCTGTGTCATCCAGGGAGCTCAGAGCGCTGGCCCCAGCTCTGTGGGGTCAGAGCACAACTGCACGACGGGCAGCCATGCAATGGGCGCATTTCACACCAATAAAGTTCTGTGTTCTCTGCAACCACAACCTTGTCCTTCCCACCTTCACAGGTGTCAGAGTGCACCGAAAACTCTGCTGGGCCTTGGCTGCTGCTGGAGTGAGGGAGGCAGAGCTGGAGCGGCCCCAGCAGTGTCAGTGTGCCCAAAGTGAGTCCCAGTGCTGCACTCTGAGGAAGAACTGGTTCAATTGTTAAATTCAGCATCTCCCTGTCCATCTCCGGGGAGGGACAGGGGACAGGGGACACGGGAGCTGCTGGCAGCAGCTGGAACGTGTCAAATCCAGCAGCTGTGACAGGAGAGCTCCTGCTGACGTCAGGCCGTGAATCAGCCTCTCCTGGGGCACCAGAACCTGCGTTGGTTCGGCTCTGGGGAGCGGCAGAGGAAGCGGAAGGGAAGTTTGGATGGAAAAAGCAGAGAGGGAGGGAGGAGATGAAGCAATTTGGGATGGGGGGGGTCACCTAAGTGGGATGAATGAAGGGGACAGGAGAAGGAACTGGATCTGGATGATCCTTGTGGGTTCCTTCCAACTTCCAACAGCCCTTGGATGTCCCTTCAGCAGGCAGGGGACATCACCCAGCCCTTGGATGTCCCTTCAGCAGGCAGGGGACATCACCCAGCCCTAGGACCTCCCTGGCCCCCAGACACCTTTGGTTCCCCCTCCCAGCTCAAAGCAGTCCTGCTGTCTCTTCCTGCCTTCTCAACCTGATGAAAATAAAGGATTTTTTCCCTTTTCCCGGGGCTCTGCTGGCCCAGCTGTGCTCCCACTCCCGTGTCCTGTGTGGAATGTGGGTGTGCACGTGCTCAGCAGCTCCTCTCCCCTTCCCCAGCACAAAAGCAGACTGAGGATTTTTAGGAATGCTGGATTTGACTAAAAATAGCCCAGACAGTGCAGCAAGGCCACGACAGAGCCTCCCAAGAGAGCTGGCTTTGTTCTGTGGTGGAGCCAAGGGTCACGGGGAGGGGAAAGCTCGATTGTTGATTAGGAATTATTGTTTGCAATTACTGACCTGCCTGCTTTGCTGCTCTGGGCTCGGGCAGGGGCGGCTTGTGCTGGGTCGGGATTTGTTACCCCGAGGCCTTTCCTTCCCTGCTTTCCCGTGCCTAGGAAGGTGTGAGGAGCTGCTTTTGGTTGGCAGCAAGGCAATTACAGGGAGCTGCTCTGTGGCTTCCCCCTGCCAAGAATCAGGAAGGGACATTTCCTTCCTCCCCAGTGCGCCGGGGCAGGATTCTGGGCCGGGCTGTGTCCCCATCCCCGGGGCAGCACAAAAGGACCTCCCTCCCTCCCATGGGATCCCTGCAGGGCCTTTCCAGCTCCAGGGAGCAACAAAACTGGGATCAATCTTCTTCGAGAGGACGCCCAGCTCCCGGGGAACAGCAGGTTTGGCACTGAAGCAAAAACTCCGTGCGGGAATCACCGCTTCATCCTGGGATGTTCGATCAAAGGGCGGCAAATCCACTAGTCACCGCTAATTAATTTTGTTTTGAAATATTTACTCGGGCTGAAGTAGTAGCTGCTCTTAAGTCTTTAAAGGATTAGCTGCCTGCTACTCTCTCCTGCCTGCAACCACTTATTTAAGCTGCTGCTGCAAATCATGCTGCTAACCTGTCATGAGAGGTTTTAACCTTCCCTCTCCTGTCAGTGGGAAATGCCTGCTGCAGATGGCCCTGCTGATGTGACAGAAATCACACATCCAGGCAGCTCCTCTGGGCCCTTTCCCCAGCTTCTTGGAGGAAAGGCAAGCCAGAAAATGCATGTGGTGATGATTGTGTGCAGCACAGGGTGCTGGAAAGGCCGTGAGGAGTGCGGGGAACATCAGCTGGGTGAGGCAGGAGCGTCAGTTCCTGAGCTCAAGGAAATGCTCTGGATCTAGAACAAATCCTCAGAGAAATCTGAGAACTCACCTCAGCAGGGATCATTCTTACTCTCAGGCAAGTGTTCGGTGTAAAAGGGAAAGATCTCAGGTCCTTTAACAGACAAATACTAATTAGCATCACCATACAGTTTTCTAGCAGTTTTCATTAATGTGCCAGCTCCTATAATCCTCATTTTCCTTGTCTTTCAACACCAACAGCCCATAGCACAGCATGACCTCTTCCCTGCTATTTTGGGTGGCTCTTTTCAGACAAATGCCTTATTTTCTCTGTATTTGATACTGAAGGTCAAGAGAATCCTCTCTGCCTTTTATTGCACAAGAACAGAGGAAGGATTGTAACGGGGCCAGTGCAAATGTGCGCCTAAAAATAAACCGGTGGATGGTCTCCAGCTTCAAACACAAAAAGAGCATTTGTGGAGGTCTCTCTTTGCTGGGCGATCGAGTTTCAGATCGCCGAGGAGACACTTCAAAGTTCAGCTCGTGATGGTTTAATCCTCCCCGTGAAACAAAGGCAACTCTGACTGGATCCTGCTCAGCTCCACCCTGAGCCCCTGGAGCTGGCAGGGGCTCACTGTGCATGGATCAGCCCAGGGACAGGGACAGGGAGACACAGGGACAGGGACAGGGACAGGGACAGGGACAGGTCTGGGGTGCTCTCTGGGCTGCTGCCCCCCACCCTGCCCATGGGGCTGCAGAGGGACAGGCAGGGCCCACAGCCCCTCTGCTGTTAACAATTCGAGGGGCCAGGGCTTGCAGAACACTTCAGTGACACTGCTTGGCACCAATTAGGAGGAGCAGAGGAGGCACTTTGGGCAGGGAAGGGGTTAACCAGCTCCAGGGCAGTTTTGGGGGAGAAGTCTGAGTTCCTTGCTCCAGGCTCTCTGTGGATTTCTGTCCTTTCATCTCCGATGCTTGGTTCCCATCAAAGGTGCTCAGTCCTGTCTCTGTGCTGTTCCTGTGGGGCTCTCAGGGCACGGCCTGTGCCCTCACCTGTGAGCAGGAGCACACAGCAGAGCTGTGCTGGGGCAGCTATAAATAGAGAGCCTGGCAGCCCTGTGGCATCCCTGCTGCTATAACTGCCACTGTGCACTGCCGTGATGAGCCTTGCTCCAGCTGCCAGGGCGAACAGGGGCTGCAGGAGCCTCCAGAGCCAGTCCCAGAGCTGCTGGAGCTGCAGGAGCCTCCAGAGCCAGTGCCAGAGCTGCTGGAGCTGCAGGAGCCTCCACAGCCAGTGCCAGAGCTGCTGGAGCTGCAGGAGCCTCCACAGCCAGTGCCAGAGCTGCTGGAGCTGCAGGAGCCCCCAGAGCCAGTGCCAGAGCTGCTGGAGCTGCAGGAGCCTCCAGAGCCAGTGCCAGAGCTGCTGGCCCTGCCTGGAGCTCTGCTGTGGGCTCAGCTCTCCCTCTGCCTCCAGTTCTGCTTTTCCTCTGTGTGTGTAGCCACTTGGGCAGCCCAGTTCCAGCAGCTGCTTTCCAGAGGGCTGCTGGTCCCATCCATGCCCCAGCACCGTTTGTTTATCTTGCCTTGTGCTGTGTGTGTGTCACTCCTGATGTCACCGGGCGCTGTTGCTATGTGCTCACACGAGGGATGAAATGAGTCACGGGGTAAAAGTGACCCTTTTTCCTCCATCCCTGCTCTCTGGGGAATCGTTTGCAGCGGGTGAAAGCAGGGACTGTGTCTGCTCTCACTTCTCTGCTGAGGGATGAGTAAGCAGCCACCAGGCGATGCTGCCTGTGCTGTGCACAGCACCTCTTTTATTCTGTGCTATAAAATTTCTCTAATGGACTTCAAGATGATTTAGTGCACCATGTCCAGCTCATTTTGGAAGTAGTTTAAGTGGGAATGAGCTGCTCTGGTCCTGCCTGGCCAGATCTGCCCACAGCAGCTGCTCTTTATCCCCAGAGCTTGGAGCAGCCCCACGTGAACGTGACACAAGGTGACAAATCCCAGCTTGGAGACCATCCCTGCAGATCCCTCAGGGCTGATCTGATGGGGAGAACATCCAATGGAACAGAACTGCAGGGTGAGCGTGCCCAGGACAGCAAAACCACGGGGAGCCATCGGCCCCGGGCTCCTGCTGTGCTCTGCTGCTGCCACACCACCTCTGAGCCAGATGTGGCTGCAGAGACAACATCTGGGCAAGGAGAGCCCTGCAGGAGAGCAGGGCAGGCAGGACAAACACAGGCTGCTCTCCTGGCCCCTCCTGCTCCCTCTCCTGCCAGGACGGAAGGGCTCATCTCAGGAGCTGTGCTTTTGGGAAGCAGCCTGGCCATGAACTCGGAGAGGTGACTCAGCCCATCTCCTCCTCCTCCTCCTCCTCCTGTCAAACACGGGCACTGCCCTGACTCAGCAAGTGAAATCTCATTTCTTTGGTACAGCCCTGAGCTACCAGACACAGCAGCAGCAAGAAAATTGCCTTCTCCTGCAGAGCACAGGCTGTCCAGCTGAGTTAGCATCACTGGGAGCACTCTGGAGCCCTCTGCCTGCCCTGCATTCCTGACAGCCTGGGATGAATGGCCCGGGGGGAAGCACAGGGACCTGGGACGGGCTGTTTGTACTCTCCTGGTTGTTTGTATCTCCTGGTTGTTTGTATTTCTTGGTTGTTTGCATCTCCTGGTTGTTTGTATCTCCTGATTGTTTGCATTCTATTGGCTGTTTGTAATGTCCTGGTTGTCTGTATATCCTGGTTATTTGCACTCTCCTGGTTGTTTGTATCTACTGGTTTGTATCTCCTGGTTGTTTGTACTCTCCTGGTTGTTTGTACTCTCCTGGTTGTTTGCACTCTCCTGGTTGTTTGTATCTCCTGGTTGTTTGTATCTCCTGGTTGTTTGTATTTCATGGTTGTTTGTAATGTCCTGGTTGTTTGTAATGTCCTGGTTGTTTGAAATGTCCTGGTTGTTTGAATCTCCTGGTTGTTTGCATCTCCTGGCTGTTTGTATCTCCTGGCTGTTTGCACTCTCCTGGTTGTTTGTATCTACTGGTTTGTATCTCCTGGTTGTTTGTACTCTCCTGGTTGTTTGCACTCTCCTGGTTGTTTGTATCTCCTGGTTGTTTGTATCTCCTGGCTGTTTGCATCTCTTGGCTGTTTGCATCTCCTGGTTGTTTGCATCTCCTGGCTGTTTGCATCTCCTGGTTGTTTGCATCTCCTGGTTGTTTGTATCTCCTGGTTGTTTGTATCTCCTGGCTGTTTGTATCTCCTGGTTGTTTGCATCTCTTGGCTGTTTGCATCTCCTGGTTGTTTGCATCTCTTGGCTGTTTGCATCTCCTGGTTGTTTGCATCTCTTGGCTGTTTGCATCTCCTGGTTGTTTGCATCTCCTGGCTGTTTGTATCTCCTGGCTGTTTGCATCTCTTGGCTGTTTGCATCTCCTGGTTGTTTGCATCTCCTGGTTGTTTGTATCTCCTGGTTGTTTGCATCTCCTGGTTGTTTGTATCTCCTGGCTGTTTGAATCTCCTGCTTGTTTGCATCTCTTGGCTGTTTGTACTCTCCTGGTTATTTGTACTCTCTTGGCTGTTTGCACTCTCCTGGCTCCCACAACCTCCTCTCCTTTTCCAAACCCAAAGCTGAAGGAAGGTCCCCTCTCTCCGACAGCTGCCGGAGGGGAAAGCACCGTGAGAGGGCCCGCAGCTCTCTGTCCTGCTCTGATTTACTCACCACACGGATTCGGGCGCTGCTGATGCTCCCTGCAGGGGCTCAGCCGCGGGGGTCTCTGGCTGGAGCCGCCGTAATTTGAGAACTTGGCCCGAGATGCTCGGACCGAAGGCTCTCTTGGCTACCGAGAGCACTTTGCACTAATTAAACTTCGCAAAAATCCCTCTCCATTTTGCAGGTGACAAACCGGGGGGTTGGGCGCGGCTGGCAGAGCCCATCTGGGTTCTGAGAAATAAACACTTTTTTTCTGAGAAAGAAACGCGTTGTTTCCGCCCCGATTTCCACCTGGCAAGTCACGGGTGTCCCCGAGATAATGAAACATTCCTGTGGCTCAGGAGCTCCCCAGCAGCTGGTGGAGGTGGCATTTCAACCAAGGGCTGCTCACATTTGCTTTCCTCACCTCACAAAGTGAAACCCAGGCTCTGCCCAGCTGCTCCCCTCAGCTACCATTCCATATTCCAGAGGGAGAAGCTAAAAAAACCAAAAACCACTGTTGGTGAGTTGTTCATTTTTTGGGGGATTATTTGGGGGAGTGTCCACTCACCTCCTAGGCCCCTGTTGAAATAGCAGGGGTTTCATTTTTATTTGGTGTAATCCAGTGGAAGATATTCCTGTTATCCATATACAGGTTCTTCTTAATTGATGGACTCCATCTGTGGGATTCACACAAATGTTATTAATCTAATGCAAGAGGAAATTTAAGAGGAAAAAGGACTGGAAAAGGCTGTACAGGGTTTGAGCCCATGGTTCTGGGGGGTCTAGCTGTGTCAAATTCAATTCTTGGAGCACTAAATCCAGCTTCATCCTCGTTCCCTGGCTTGTCCTTGGGATTATCAGGACCCTGAGGTCTTTATCTGTTGCATTTCCATCTGACTGATGTGTTTTCTCTGGCTGTACTTCCCTCACCAGGGGAGGGCAGGTTGGAAAACTGTAACACTCCGAAATTAAACAGACAGAGCTGTGTGTCTGTCCCCGATCCTGAGCACGGGGGGACACTGAGCACGCACAAACTCCAGTCAACAGCAGAACTCTGCAGCCTCCATCAACGTGACATCACCGAAATGTCCCTCCTGTCGCCTCCCCACCCTGACAAACAAAGGCTTTTAAGGTTCAAAAGCTGCACTGAAGCCTGTGCCTACATTTGGGACAAGGCCAGCTAGTGAATAATGCCCAGGATCAATATCCATAACCAAGCACCGCGCCTCAGCCCTGCCCTCTGTAGTTCCCCATATGTCTCACTGGAAAAAACCTTTCAGAAGCTTAACCAGGAGAGTGTTGCAGTGAACGTGGGAAAAAAAAATAATGGGAGGATAATGAGATGCTCCAGAGGCCTCGTAGGGTCTCTGCTCTTAAAGTAAGCTCTGGGTTTTAATGGGATCGGATGAAACCCTCTTGGTGAGGGGGCTGGACAGCTGGTGAGCAAACACCCCCAGCATTCCTGCTGCCAAACCCTGCACAGACAGCAAGGACCCGAAAAATCAACAGAACTGCAGGTCTGGGTGAAACAGGGCCCAGCTGGGGAGCACTTTGCCATCGACCCGGGGCTGCACCTTGATCAAACAGCAGCAGGGCTGCGGGAGAGCCCAGCAACATCAACATCTCCCCAAGGACAGCCAGTGCAAGGAGCAAGGGCAGGAATCAGCTGCCCACAACAGCCCTGAGCAAGGGAAGGAGCCACGGGCTGCTGTGCCTGAGAACTGCACGTTCTGGGAAGGGCAGGACACACATTAGAGCGAGTTAACGCTGTCAGAGGCCATTAGGGATGTCAGATGTTGCCGAGAGGGACGTGAGAGAGGCGCAGTCCGGAGCTGGGTACCGGAGCTGCAGACGTCAGCAGAGCCTGAGAACACCCAGCTCTGTGGGCTGGGAGGGGGACGTGTCACATTTGTGTCATATTTGTGCCACATTGGTCCTGACCCCCACCAGAAAACTGGAAATCTCAGAAAAATGGTGCTTGCAGATGTGGTGGAGGTCCCTCATCTTTTAGGAGACTCAGCTTAGGCTCCGCTAGTACAGCTAGTACAACAAGGGAGGTTTAGGTTGGCCATCAGGAGGAATTTCTTCACAGAAAGGGTGATTAGACAGTGGAATGGCCTGACCCTAGAGGTGTTTAAGGAATGACTGGATGTGGCATTCAGTGCTCAGGTCTGGTTGGGATGGTGATGATTTGGCACAGGCTGAGCTTGACCTCAGAGGTCTTTTCCCACCTAAATGATTCTGTGAACTCTTTTGTTCCTCCCTAAACTCATTCTCCTATTGTAAAAGTTGGATTTTTCCTAAAAGATAATAATAATAAAAAAAATTAAAATCCAAAAAGAAACCACAAAGCAAAACCGCAAGAGGGCCAGGGCTGGGGGCACCAGGTGAGCATATTTTCCTAGGGGCTGGAGAGGGAGCCCCAGATGAGGGGCCCAAGGGGCTTTGTTTGGGGATCTGGTCAATATCCGTCAACATCCATCAAGGGGCTTTGTTTGGGGATCTGGTCAATATCCGTCAATATCCATCAAGGGGCTTTGTTTGGGGATCTGGTCAATATCCATCAATATCCATCAAGGGGCTTTGTTTGGGGATCTGGTCAATATCCGTCAATATCCATCACTATCTGCAGGGAGGTGTTGGAGATGGAGGAGGCTGTGCTCCCTGGGGCCCAGCAGTGGGACAAGAGGCAATGGGCAGAAACTGAGGCATGAAATGTTTTACCTGGACACAAGGAAGAACTTTGCTGTGCAGGTGCCCAAGCACTGATTCCCAGAACTGGAATAACAGAGTTACACGATCGCTGATTTGGAAGGGACCCACTGATCCAACCTTCAGCCTTGCACAGCACATCCCAGCAATCCCACCACGTTCCTGAGAGCCTTGTCCCATCCCTCCTGGAGCTCTGCCATCCCTGAGGCCACGACCATTCCCAGGGGAGCCCGTTCAGTGCCCCACTGCCCGGACAGGCTGTGGAATGTCCCTCACCAGTGATATTCCAAACCCGTCCGGACACAATCCTGCGCCATGTGCTCTGGGATGCCCCTTCCTGAGCAGGGAGGCTGGACCCGACACCCCACTGCAGTCCCTTTAAACCCGCCCCATCCCGTGACTCCGCAATTCGTGTCCTTCACGTATAAACCCCTCACACATCCCTGCGGCTGGAGCCTCCTCACCCTCGGGGAACGCGCGGCTGTTTCCCCCCGCCGAGCACCGGGGCCGCCATGGCGGCCGAGCCCTGAGGCAGCGGGGCCGGGGCCGCGCCATCTTGTCGGGGGCGGAGGAAGCGCCCGTCCCGCCCCGTGCTCTGCCTGCCGGGGCCGCCCGGCCTCGCCGCACTCGCCGCGGAGACCGAGCGGAGCGGAGCCGCAGCCCCCAGCGCCATTGCCGCCCTCAGCCCGCCATGGCAGGTGAGCCCGTCCTCCCGCTGCCGCCCGGGGGAGCAGCCCTGAGGGAGCGCCTCACCGCCGCGCTCTCCCCGCCGCGTTCTCCCGTCATCGTTCTCCCTTCAGCGCTCTCCCCTCTGCGCTTTCCGCCCCTCGCCTCCCGCCCGCTGTCAGCTCCGTGCCGGCCCCGCATCCCCGCTGCTCGCCCGGAGGGTCGCGGCTCCCCGCAGCCCCCACCATGTTCGCCGGCCGCGCTTCACCTTGGCCGCCGCGCCGTCCGCACCTCTGCGCTCCTCCTCTCCCTTTCATTTCGCGTTTGCGGGTTAAGTAAATAAATAAATAAATAAACCTTTCCCCCGTGCCGCGCGCCGCCGTGTGCCGGCTCGGCAGCGTCTCCAGGGGATGGGGAAGGGGCGCGGGGGATGCTCGGGGTGGCACCTGCGGCGGGGTCACCTGCCCGGCCGGCAGCACCGCTGGGCGTCCATCCCGGGGTGGGGTCTTCTCTCTGTGCCGCTGAGGTCATTATATTTTTTTAATTAATTTTTTTCCCCTTTAATCGGAGACAAAATGGGTGGCAGAGCCGTAAGCTTGCGGATGGGCTGGAGAAATGCAGGTTAATTCTCCCCTGGTCCTGAAGGGGTGGCCTCGCTCTTCCTTGATCCTGTTCTCCTGATGTGCTTTAAACCTTTTTTTTCTCTCTTTAAAAAAAATTATTTATTTGCCTTTTTATTTTCCAGTGCACGTCGAGGCAGGAAATATTTAAATTTTCTGGTTTTAACTTGCAAGCCTCGTTCGATACCGTGTGTGGTTTTCTTTTGTTTTAAGGTACATTTTGGGTAGGAAGAAGTGATGTAGGTAGTGCAGGAAAATGCCTGAACAAAGCTTGTTGCAAGCCGTTTAGGGTTCCTAGAATAACGACTAACCACTATCATATATTCCTGTTATTGGTGGCTTTTGCCTTTTTTCCATAAAAGCCGGGAATGAGGCAGAGGCTTTCCAGTTCTGTTCCCATCCCTTCATTTTGGAGCCGCGGTTCTCATTTTGTGTGCAGGGAAGAGCAGCCCCTGAGGCACTTGGGGCTCTCCTGGCCAGGTGAGTGCGGGCTGGGCTGACCCCAAAGGCAGCACGGAGCCGGTGGAAGATTCTGGCAGGGGAGGAAATCCCTCGAGGTGTTCCAGACAAGGTAAAGACCTGGCCTGTTCGTTTTTTCCGCCTTGTCATTTCCCACACGCAGCTGACTCTTGGTGTGAGTTGAGTGCCAGGTGAACGCCAGGCTCTCTGTTCTGCTGATGAGCTTCAATTTTCAATGAAAACACCAAATGCTCTGTATTCATGGGGAACATAATATGTCTGTGTGTCCTCACTGCGGCGTAGCACTGCCAGGCTTGAGCAGGCTTTAAATTACCAGTTTAGGCTTGAAAAAAGAGCTGGTTTGGGTGGTGTTTTTCCTGGCAGGTGGAGTTTGATGCAGGCTCTGAAACGAAGTGGAGAAGCAGAACAAATGCTGGAGTGATGAGCAGCTGATGGGCTGCACGGTGCCAGAGCCAGGCTTAACTGCACACCTCCTCTGCCAGGTGATTTCAGTGTAGATAAAGGATTATTGCAGCAAGGAGCTCAGGTTGGCAAGCTGGAAAATAATCTTGAGATGTGTGGAACAATTGGATTAATTGAGGAGCTCCTGCACCCCTACTCCTAGCTCCCAGTCATGATGCAGATACCTTGAAATTAGAGCAGTGTTAACATGGAGATGCACTGACACAAATTCAACCTTGGGCTAGCAAGGAGGTTAAACAAGCCCTGAGATTTTTATCATGGATTTAAACAAGCCTTTGGTTTAGTCAGGATGCAGAGAGAACCTGAAAATGTCGTGTCAGAGCCCTGGGGACAGGAGGAGATCACTCAGGGGTGGTTGTGCTCCTGCTGAGGCTTAACAGGCCGCAATCAAATGGTTTAAAATCCATCCCAGGGCTGTGAGCCCTGCCCTGAGCCAGGCTTAGCTTAGCTGAGCTCTCTGGAAGCATCACACAGCTCTCAGCAGATGGAAGGAAGGAGCAGGATGGGATCAGCTTCTCAGAGCGCGGGCCTGTTGCTTCCTCAGCGTTTTCAGCACGGAAATAAATGAAAGGATTTGGAGGAGAAGCAGCTGCTCAGTCAGTGGCAGGATTTGGGTGTTTCCTTGGGTGGCAGCTCCCATCCCTCAGCCCCTGGCAGTGTCCCCTGGGTGCCCACCCAAGCCTTGTGTTCCTATGGCAGCCGGGTCTGTTCGGGGAATTTTCGTGCTCTTTGCCCTCCCTGAGCCCAGGCAGACCTGGGTGCACCTCCCCAAGTCCGTACTGGGCGCCGTGTGGGTGGATTTAAACCTTGCTAGTGTGAGAATTTCTGTCTCGAGGTCGTCTCGCAGGGAGCTGAATTCCAGCGGAGAAGTAGAAATAATTTCTTTGTTGGTATTACTTGGTTGGAGACTTCTTCAGGGGAGGCTCGAGATAATGGCAGCGTTGGAGGATTGTTTTTTTCCTGACAGTAAACTTTGATTGGGAATTTCCCCCGCTCTGTAAAAAACACTGCATTTGTATGCAGCTCCTATTCCAAATGCTTTTTAAAAATTAAATCAAATTTTTTATCTTCGGTTCTGCCCGTGTGTTTGGGGGTTTATTTCTTCCTGGTGTGGCCAAACGTGCCAACTCCTCAGCATGCAGGGGTGCCCTGAGGGGCTGTGCCTGGCTTTGCTGCGTTGTGGAAGTTGATTGCAGACCATTGACAGGAAAATGGGTGAAGCTGCAGGCATTGTCCCTATGCATTCCTGCAGAAGTGGCTGCTGAGCTGCCCTCAGGGCTGCTCTGAACCTGAGGGCAGGGGGAGGCAGCTGGCACCTCCTGGGAGCTGCTCCCGCCATGAACTGGTGGCATTTGGAAACCTGGAATGGTTTGGGTGGGCGGGGACCGCAGAGCCCACCCAGTGCCATGGGCAGGACACCAATTCCACCGTCCCAGGCTGCTCCAAGCCCTGCCCAGCCTGGCCTGGGGCTCTCCATGGATCCAGATGCACCCTGTGCCTCACCCCCCTCCCGGGGAACGATTTCTTCTGGCAAGTTCTTGTTCTGCTGTAGCTGCTCCTGTCAGTGTCTCCCTGTGAGCCTCCTAAGAAACCTCATGCTCCAGAAGTTTCTGTTTGGGCCATTTCTTCAATAGGTTTATTTTGCTTTCAAACACTTCTTTATGTGTTTATCCGTGCAGGAGAAAATGCAGATGGCTGCACACAGCCCCTCTACTTCCATTGGAGCTGATGGTTTATATGTTGCTGGAAAATCTATTTATATCAAGTGTTATTTATGAAGCCTCAGTGGTCATGACATGGCCTGACAACAGTTACCATGGGGGTTATTTTACTTAAAAGCTGCAGGAAGACAATATTGACAGACAGGACGAGTAAGAGACGAGCATCCTGATGCAGGGAAGGCAGGAGTAAAATAAATCATTACAAATGAAAGTTCCTGCTGCGTTCTGCATCCTTCCCGGGGGTGAAGCGTGTTCAGCTTCGTGGGGTGCAGGAAATATTTCTGTCACTGCCTGGGAGCGCATTTGCTTTACGGGCAAATGCTTTACTTGTTACGAGCTGTCTCAGGACAGGGTTTCTTTGACGGCAGGAAAGAAATCCGATGATATTTGGCTGTTTTCAGGTTGTGGGAAGGAAATGTTTGCTGCCTGGATGTTTTTCTGCTGGAGATGAATCTACACGGGGATTTCTTGCCATGGTGATTTGGCCCGGAAAGGAGCAGAGCTACTTCCTTGGAAAGGCACTTGGGGTGTTGGGACATCGCTGGCACTGCTGGGGAAGGGAGGAGGAGGAGGGAGAGCTGGGCTTGGAGAGCTCCTGTTGTGATTTCATCCCTTCCACTCGAGTTCGTCTCAGGGATTGTGTTTTGGGATCCTCGGGAATTCCCACAGCTCTGGGGTTTCTCCAGAGGGACTCGGAGCAGAGTCTGGGGTTTGTGTCCCCACTGTTGTCCCCAGTGAGTCACCCCGGGGGCTGTGACTCTTCTTGGCCCCAGGGCAGGGCTGGGCTTTGAGAGCTCCAGGCTGGCTTTGGGAAGGATGGATTGCCCCCAGGCTCTTTGGGAAGGGTGGAATTTGCCCCCAGGCTCTTTGGGAAGGGTGGAATTTGTCCCAGGCTCTTTGGGAAGGCTGGATTGGCCCCAGGCTATGCCCAGGGACTCCCAAAGCTCCGGGGTTGGGTGTTTCCCTCCTGGGATGAAATTCTCTGTGTTCCCATTGTTTGATTGCTGGGGAATGGCTGGGCTCGAGGTGACTGTAAAATCAGTATTTTAATGGGTTTATAATTAGAAATTCAGTGATCTAATTCTCCCTGTGTCTCAGTTCTCAGGCCAGAAGAGGCAAGTGCTGGTTAAGGAGGGGACAGGGAATGCTCTTAACATCCAAGTGTGTGCCCTTACTTATTTCATTTTAATATTATTTTTAAATAGCATCTTCAAGCGAGAATAAACTTTATCCCGTTTTACTGAAAGGGAATTTCCAGAGCTCCTTCTCAACACATTTGGGCAACCAGAATATTTAATTATTCCCCCAAAACATACATTACAAAGAGGTAATAAATCAACGTGTGTTTCTAAGAGTGTCCGAGGCTCCTTGGGGGGCTGGATTTTGGAGACTGACACATCTCTGTCCTCAGAACCAGGAATATTTTGGTGTTGGACTTGTGTCAGCAAACAGGCTTTGTCTGATCGTTGTGTTTTTAGGGGCAGAGGAGTGCAGGTGTTGTGGTGAAGGAGCTGAGCTGTCCCGCAGTACCTGGGAGTATCTGGGTTTCCCGAGCTCTGATAACAACATCTGACCTGCTTTCTGTGTGTTTGGGTTAAACAGCGTGTGCCCTTCCCGACCAAAGGCGCTGTTTGCGTTTGTCACCCTCTCCATGTAGAGTAAAGCTGCTGGAAGAATGGCCTCGGATGAGCACTGGTGGGTGATGCAGGGGCATTGACTCATTATTTGTTGGGAAATGTGAGTCACCGA